TTACCCGACCTCAATACTCCGTTCTCGACCGAGAGAGATTCGCTATTCCCTGACGACGTCGAATATAAACCCATTGATCGCTCCATCCCTTCTGCCTCTCCCTCCGAACCAACTCCCACTATGTCTGCTCAAGCCCCTCACAACACCCTCCTGATCCCAGGACCCATCGAGTTCGATGATGCCGTCCTGCAGTCTATGTCCCACTATGCGTGAGTTGTCCAGGTCACAATATGTCATGCTACAATGAACAACCAACTAACTCCCCCAGTGAGAGCCACGTCGCTCCCGGCTTCGTCAAGGTCTTCGGCGAGACCTTGACTCTTGTCCGGAAGCTCTTTCAATCCACCAACCCCACCGCGCAGCCCTTCATCATCTCCGGAAGCGGCACGCTGGGTTGGGATCTTGTCTCTGCCAACCTGATCGAGCGCGGCGAGAACGCCCTCGTTCTCAATACCGGCTACTTCGGCGACTCCTTTGGCCAGTGTCTTGAGACATATGGTGCCAACGTGACGCACCTCAAGGCGCCCATCGGTGATCGCACCCCGCTCGAGGAAGTGGAGGCAGCCCTGAAGGAGAAGTCGTACAAGCTCATCACCCTCACACACGTCGACACATCGACCGGTGTGCTCTCAGACGTCAAGGGCGTGGCACAATTAGTGCGCCGCGTCAGCCCAGACACCCTCGTGGTTGTGGACGGCGTGTGCAGTGTCGGCTCTGAGGAGATCGCCTTCGACGAGTGGGACCTCGATGCCGTCCTTACAGCTTCACAGAAGGCCATCGGCTGCCCTCCCGGTCTCAGCATAGTCATGACATCAGGCCGCGCCATCCAGGCCGCCCAATCTCGCAAGACCCCTCCTGGCGCTTACTACGCCTCCATCGCCAACTGGCTTCCCATCATGCAGAACTACGAGAACAACAAGCCCTCTTACTTCGCCACCCCTCCCACCCAGCTCGTCCACGCCCTGCACACCACTCTCACCCAAATCACCGCCGATGTCCCCGGCCGCTTCGCTATCCACACCGAGGTCTCGGATAAGGTTAAGGCTGCTGCTGCCGAGCTTGGTCTCAAGCAGCTCGCTGCTCGCCCTGAATGCCAAGCTCATGGTATGACTGCGATGTACCTGCCTGAGGGTCTGGTCCCGGCCGATGTCCTGCCTGGTCTGCTTAAGCGTGGTGTCATCTTTGCAGCTGGTCTGCACAAGGAGATTGCTACCAAGTACATCCGTTTCGGCCACATGGGTGTCAGTGTCACTGACCCCAAGCGTGGTGATGTTGACAATGCCCTGGCGGCGCTCAAGGAGGCCCTGGCCGAGGCTAAGCAGGCTAAGGGTTTGTAAGGGCTATACTTCGATATGTTTGATGTAAACGGCGGACCTGTGAATTACTGCATCCAGTTAGTTTTGCCTTTTTCGGTTTAGCGCCCCAACACGCTGTCACGTAACCTCCCTTCATGCCCTCTGACATAAAAGATCCATTTTCGCTGCTCTTCCTCCCTTTCTCACGTTTCCATTATCTTCTGCCTCTCTATCTTGCACTCATCCCCCTCCTCCCATTTCTTTTACTCTGCCCCCCACCGACTATTGCGCATTTGCTTTCAGCCCAACGCGCTGCCCCCTTCATTTGTTTTTTACCATAGATGCCGCACGATCCGACATCCAGCTTGCAATGCCTGTCACTCGGAAGCGTAACCACTGTGACGATCTGCCGACAGAAAGGCGGATTCTGCCATAGATTTACGCCTTCGTAATATTTGCATTGTTTGATTCATTGGTTGAGACAGGGTCCTACTTAGTATTCTCGTGAAATTGCACTCTTGAACATGGAACCGGTATATAACATAATATTAAGTACCACTCTCATTTTAAAACAAAGAGATGCGACCGTATAGACCATTTATTGTGATTGGTCTCAGTCACGCTTCACCCTACTTCCCGTTCCTTAGCATCGTACAGCTAAGACTCGACCCGAATCCGAACTGTTAGCTAATTAAGATAGCCGGAACGAAGCGAAACCTGACGAACTGTGAAGTAGCCGATTGCTATACTAGATAAAGAAGATAGTAACGAGGAAGAGATAGTTACGAACCGAATACCCCGATACCCGAACCAAGTAGACTAGCTAATACAAGTGAATTTAATAAAGATAACGACGCTAGAGAAGGATCCTTTACATATAAAAGACTATAGAAGATCCTAACCAAAGAGCGATTCTACGAGCTCGCTGGAGAGTATCTTAATTAAAAGGAAGAATCTAAGTAATAATTAATAGATATTATAATAAAGATAATTCGATTATATAAATAGCGTTAATTTCTATATATTCGGAATAATCGGATATTAGATTATGATCTTTCATTAATAGAGTAGTTAGATATTAAAGATCATTTTAATATTAAGGCCACCGAGGAACGCGGTAATCATGGTTAGAAATTGAAAGCCAGATTTCTACCCTCAACAGCAATGCCGACAGATGGCTCTCTCGTCTTCCAACAGAATTCTACTTCAATGAACTCGACGCATCGCAGCCTTTCGTCCGGGAGCGAGCCAGCCTAGTCTTTCGCTTTTACACCACCAAAGTAATCATTTCACAGCCCTGCCTTCGCCCCCTCTCCAACCTATCTGGCACGACTTCACCCGGGGCTGTGTGTAATGCCATGGCTGCTATGTGCGTCCAAGTTGTAGGACACGTTCCCGATCTTCTCCCAGATGAGGTAGGCATGGTGTGGTTATACAAAGTCCCCCCGTGGTGGTGTGTTCTTCATCATATCATGCAATCCAGAGCACGATCCTTTTAACAGCACTATTCACCCGAGTCCATCCCGTGATAGCCGACGCAGCCATTATTGTAAAGAAGGTCAAGAAGGCTACCCGGTGGCTGAACGAGATATCCGCCAAAGATCCCTTTTCGCAGCGAGCTTAGCTTATCTACATGGATCTTCTCTCGCGCCGCGCCTCTAAAGGTGGATTAGAAGTTGATCGTGAGCCGTTGGTATTACGTTCGTTCTCGGGTGTTCTCTATCTTCCCAGCCCATTTCCGAACATACCGATCTCGAGATAGCATATCAGTGACACTGTCATCGTTGACAACCCCTTTGATTTGCTGAAAGACCTTACCGCAACGAAAAGCGGTAATTTGGCCCACGAATTATTACTCGAAAGCTGATGACCAAGCCTGTTTCCTGGGTGGGTTTTGTACCTTTCTCCCTTTTTATGTCGACATATGTCCCGTAGGAGTTCTGACTATGTTGGTCACAGGTGCCGATGTTAACTGTCGGAGGACTTGCCGTAAAGCAATTCAACCCATTAGAACGTCATATTCAGTCGCCCCCGACGAGTGCGCGATGGGTGGAAGGCGGTGAAGTGAATATTGCTCCAAGAGAATTTTCTCCGCTTCCGCAGATCTTGTTGCAGCTACTAGACAACTGCCCATTGCAAGGACACTGGGACATATGCCATCCCGAAAGACTCATAAGAAGTCCCGTAACGGGTGTGAGGAATGTAAGAGGCGAAGAGTAAAGGTTGTTGATTTCTCACTCTGTATTCATGTTCTCTTCTAGCTGACGAGGGTTGTTCCGCAGTGTAATGAGCAGTATCCTTGCCACAACTGTCTCAAACACAAGAGTGTCTGCATCTACCGGCCCTATTTTAGGCGGCCACAAGCCCAAGCTACCTTTGCTCATAATTCACTCTCTCCAAGTCCAGAAGGACCCTCCACTTTCCCCGAGATCGAAGCCATTACGGCGGCTATAGACAGCTCGTCTTTCACCTTGTTCAATGGGGCAAATTCCTGGTTCCAGGATCTTGAGCTGATGCATCACTTCAGCACCGTTGTTTACGAAACGCTCGCGAGCCGCAAAGCAGTACAGTATGTCTGGGGTATTGCTCTTCCGCGGGAGGCTTATTCATGCGAGTGTCTCATGCATGGCCTACTTGCATTATCGGCATCACATCTTGCCACCCTCAATCCACCAAGAGTGGCTGACTATATAGGTTTATCGGCATCACATCTGCATATATCTCTTTTTCTTTACAGAAAGATGCTTGCTAACATTTCAATCACCACTTGTATCCCGGCATTTGCTCTGTCGTCTCTTCTCGTCATACACGTCTGTGCACAGCCGAAACTGGATAGATCAAGGCCAACTGTTGAAAAGCTTATGAAGTTATTTAACATGTGTCGCGGGGTTGGGACTATTATTGCGCCATACAGTGCACATATTAAGCAGAGCTCTCTAGGCTCCTTGCTTCATGATGACTATACGTTCTTTATTAAGCCCCAAAGGTACTACTTTAAGATTTTTCACACTACGGAGTTTTTGACAATGCAAACTAATACACTCAAAGATCCAAAAATGCTCATCCCATAAACTCCCAATTGCCATGGATTGCCCAGTTAAAAGATTTGATCAACCGCCAAACGCTCGATCACCAGGAAGAAAGCGTGTACTTTGATGCACTTACCCAGCTTGAGAATTCTTTTGACTTTCTTCGGGTGGCTAACGATCCATTGGAATGGGGGATGGCCTTTGTCTGGCCTGTTCTGCTTAAAGAAGAATTTCTCAGTCTTCTGGGACAACTCAAACCTGTTCCCCTGGTGATTCTCTCCCACTACTGCATGCTCTTGTATCATTTTGACAACTTTTGGTTCCTGGATGGCTGGGCTAAGGCTCTTCTCACAGAGATTGCGGATATCCTACCCTTAGAGTTGCAGGTGTGGATTGATTGGCCTAGGAAATCTGCGGTTTGAGACATTTGCGAGCCTGAGAGCCCGGCCGGGCGCACTCAATGTGGGGGTGTAGGAGATAGCTTTTATCGTCGTCCTAATTTCATGCCTATAGGATGTTGGTATCATAGAAAGCTAGTGAACATTTAGGTGAAGGAGTCAGAACTTTGTTTACCAACCAGTTAGGTATCTATTAGAAACCGTCAAATTGTTTATAATTGACACGTCTCAGTCCCATCTAACGCTCCCCAGCATCACAATCTGAAGTTGAACGTCTATCACCCTATATTTTCCAACTGCGTCTGTGATACCGATCTCAAACTCTGCATCGAATCCTGGCCATGTTTATAATCACCAGCCAATATTACCGACGGATGAAATACATTCATTGTAACCATGGCAAAACCCATCAACATCGCATCAAACACATACATGAACACCTCATGGCCGATCAAATACCCATCGTTTCCCTGCGCGTACTCAACAAGACGGAAGATCGATCGTACCAGAATCAGCGCGCTGGCAATATACAGACCCCAAAGGGCGGACTCCCAGCTGCGAAGCGCCGCTTGATTGGGGCTCTGTCCCAGTTGGAGAACTCGTTGTGTTGGATTCGAGCGAATCCGTCTGTGAAAGATAGCCGAGGTAATCACGAAAAATGTGAAGAAGACGAGTTGCACGCAGAGACCGCCAATTGTGATGTATTCACCCGTAGTCCTGGCACTAAGGCTGTGGCTGGCCATGGTCGCACCACCTTTGGTCTAGCTTAGCAAACATTCAATGTCGAGTTTCTGCCAGTAAGAACGGGTGTGCATACCTACTGCCTGCGCCACAAATGCAATAACATCACCAGTCACGAATATACCAGTCAGCCATTTCAATGGGACCAGACTAAAGTGCTCAGCATGGAGATAGCGTATGATTCTACCGAGGACCATGTATATGGATCCGGCATAGAGTGCTGGGGCTAGCAAAATGAGGATTGCTTGGATAGAATAGATAGGGATGCTTCCCGTGTTCGAATGCGCTGCTGCTCGGGCAGCATAACCTATTATCTGGACTATGGAATGGTTAGCTGGGCATCCTAGGGCATAACAAAAACTTGGCTTTGAGTTACTCACAAATCCCCCCAAGAACAAATGCAATGAAATACCAGGATTTGTTTCTCGCGAGTTGGTAGATATGCCAGGTGGTCGTTATGGCGAATAAGACGATGAAGATCACGGCTGCTGAGATAGAAGGCCTGTACCGGTAAAAGTCAAGAACAGCTTGGCCGCCAGAGTCGCTCATGGTATAGATCTGAGTCCAAATCACACCACGAAAGGAAAGATAAAAACCGACACGCTACGAAGTCCGCGTAGTAAAAGAAGTGGTTATTGACCCTCAAGTAGAATGTAGTTAGAGACGGGTCCAGTGAATGGGGATGTAACTTCCTACTTAAATACAAAAGTACCAAGAGTGCACATTCGCAAAATCCCGTAAACCATGGCCGGCGAGTAGATTCTTCCAAGTACTTATTGCCCATGCTAGCTGTATTAGAAAAGGATCTCGTACTCTAGTGATTGTACTAACCCAATATAGTTTAGTGTACGAAGTTATGAAAATCGACCAAGGTGGAGTCAACTACCCCTGTTCGTGCCAAGAACTCGGGAATGCTAACCCAATCGAGTGACGATGACTCGCAGCCACCTGTTGCTGTACAGGGAGATAGGACATTTGATTAAGAAGACTTTCTCAATGAGTTGAACACGAACCAAGGAAAAGCTGCAACGATTTATTTGTCTTGACAGCCAAGGAGCCATCGCCCTGTCCTCGAACCCGCAATACCAACAACCCCCATACACCGTGTCGCACAGATATCGAGGATATTGATAGATCGTGAGATCAGGTCAATAACGGGCTCCCCGGGCTCATAACCTACTTTAGAGTCTACAGTGTGGATGAGATCATGTAACAGCACAATGTAGTGTATTGTGGTGGTTTGTTGTATTGTTAGATGTAGGAGAAAAGAGAGCTAGTCTACAACTATGGAACATGTGACACCCGAGAGTTCAAACACCTCTGCAATATCGCAACCATCGCTAGCCCACCAGTACATTCCAGTATTGCGTTTCCAATCTTCCAATGCTGCGGTAGGGGTTGATTGAACCATTCGGACCTTAGACATAGCTCACAGTAACACCATCGCGGGTGAGAGAAGACTTAGTCAAGATGCTTTGCTTCTTTTTGATGTCGATGAGAGTTGCTTTAGACAGGCCGACAGTCTTGCTGCCAGATGTAGCCTCTGCTTTTGAGAATGTCACAGTTCCAAAGTTGGTAAGCGGAACCAACTTGCCGGCGGCTATGAAGTCCTCGACAATCCATTCAGCATTGGTCTCGCAGAGGTCTCCATAGTCAACACCGGTGAATTCATGGGTCACAGATTTGCCTGTAGTCATATTATCGACGACAGCAGAACCGGAGTTCTTAGAGGTAGCGTTCACAGTGAGCTTAATCACATCCCCAGTAGAGATCAGGAAGTCGGAAAAGTCGTAGGTCAAATCTGGGTACCACTCGTACCAGGCAGCGTAAGAAACCTCGTCTCCTTGGACACAGAATTTCACCCCAGTTTGCAGGATAGCCGAGCCACAAGTATAACCGTCAATACCGACCCAGGCAGAGGCACAGGTCTTCTCGGAAGGCGAAGCACCCGGGGGAGGTTTCGGCTTAGGAACGGTAAATTCTCCAGTGACCAAGGTATATCCGGTGCCTTGAAGTACAGCACCGGACCAGTTTGTGCTGTACTTTGTTTGGCTTGTTCCATTCGGACTAGTAAGCTCTAGGGTGTCCAGCTTATCAGCAGGACGGCCAATACGGCTAGCTCGGACAGTATCGCTAGCTACGCGGCGTTCGGTGAAGGGAGTAGCAATGGCCGACGTTATGAGCAACGCTGCGCTGAGGATGGTGGTCGAGAACTTCATGGTACAAATTGAATGATTAAGAAATTGGAGGTAGCTTGACTGTATGAATAACTAGACGATCTTAGGGAAGATGCCGCTTATATAGCTATCGTATATATTTATAGCTTCCTTAGAAGATAAGAGACCGAACTAAAATGCGCATTTAACGCATCTTTCACAATGTAACATCACCTCATATTTTATCATGCCGTCGGAGACCGACAGCTAAACCAGGATGAACCGTAGCCTAAAGAATTGTATTAGATCAATCGCATTGCCTGTTTCCTATGTATAGTAGAATAACACAAACTCCAGCCCTCCGGATTCCCGACGGGGCTTAGAGGTGCCGATATAGATTAACAAGCAGCGTGGAGCCATAATACCAATTTAATAGGGAAGTGATCGCTCTTTTCAGAGCGCGTCGGTGAGAATTATCTATAAGCAGATAGCAATAGCAAATTCGTATAACTACGGCTTAGAGGCTAATATTATTTTATCCTCTAGCCATTAGCCTATCAGTGATAAAAGTGCCAAGCTTTCAACAAGCAACGATACCTAGGAGAAAAAGCGGGAGAGGTAGATGAATGTGTGAATAACGTAGATACAGCGATTTAGATATGTGTGCTTGGTGGCGTGGTAGCATGGTATTAGAACAATATTGGCTCCAGGAACAAGACAAAACACCCCATATGTTCCCGAATAAATTCCGCATAAATTCCGCTCGGGCCGGACTGCAGATTCGGCCGGACTTGCGTATAGATAAACTAAGTTCGCGCTAACTTCATTTGATAATCTCCGAATCGAATCGTGAGGACATTGGACAGAGATGTCGTAATTCCTTCATCCAAGTAACAAACCATAAGACATGAGATAAGTTATTACACCTATGAAGAAAAGCCTAACGGAATTTCCTCAAGCCTCGGGTCTCTAAGCCACAGCGTTTGAGCTTTTAGGTGCGGGTCTAATCAGCCTATAAGTTAATAACGTAGAAATCTGAATTTTTATCGAATAGATACGACTTGCTGCAACTTACCTGGTGAAGAATACGGGCCCACTCTGTGCCATTGCTAGCATATTCGCACATCGCATTTCTTCTAGAGCCAGCCTTGTCCTGGTCCCTTTGGCAACTCTCATTAGTTTAACTATTGAACATGTTGTCGGCACAAGGAAAGCTTTGTTCCCGATATCCAAGTCTACTGGGATAAATATGGCGAAAGAAAATGTCCCCGTAGACTCTAGAATTGAGAGTTGAAAGAGGGTTTTGCGCCTCCGGTGTTAGGATAGGACGTATATGACCCCAGAAGCCCTATTGGGCCATAATCCAAGGTTGTGATAATTAGAAAGAGAGAAGAGTGTTATTGATCGTAGGCAATGTGTGTTGGATACTACTTGCAAAAGCTGCTGTTTAGTAGGATGGTAACGTGACCTCGCTTTGTAGGTTGATGTGGTTATTAACTACACCGCACAAAGCAATAATCTTGCTGTTCGCTTTCCTTTCCTCTCCTACTATTAATACACTGTCTACATCTCCCTACTTTCCCAATCAAGAAACAAACTAATCTGCAGGTAACCCCCCCCCGATCCTCAACATTCTGGAAACCTCCCTATTGGCGCGTCTACCCAGACCCAAGACCCTAACCGAAGAATGCACCAGCCCTGGAGACTCGAAGGAACCTTGGAATGACATTGAACAGCCATTCGCAGTAAATAATGTAGTATTGTGCGAGGAATTACTCCATGCAATCTTCTATTTCCCCTTACCAGCTCCTAGTTGCTCTCAGACAAGCCAGGGGTATGCCAAGGTCCCCTGCCACACCCCTAGACAGCCACGCATTGACCAACCTTCTTTTGTATAGAAGCAGTTGACCTTCAATGTTTCGACTATAGTATTATGCGCAGACGGATATAACCCGGAAGGTTTTCTACATCGATCTAGCTGATCTAGGGACCGTATTACCGCATGGGGTCTCGTGTGGTGCTCGATAGATTTTCACCTTGAACGAAGATTGTAGGAATGGAATGTTTTGTCTTTGATAGAAATGTAGCAGTGGACTTCATTTTGTTTATAGCTGAGTGTCCGTCCATCCCATAGACGTCTGTTCGCTTCTATTATGCTAATAAAACCTCTCAAAATGCATTACTTGAAATCCACCCTCCCATGTATCCTAGCAGTGGCTACTCTTGCCTCGGCGGAGACAACAACAGGCACATTAGCAAATAGCGCGGTGAATAGTGCATGTAGCTCAGAAAAGTAAGTCGAGTCTATACAGCAGCTCTACACTTCCAAATAACCTTGACACTAATGCCACCCCAGCTACCATACCAACTACCCCGAAAACCCATCTCACCAAGACGCCGAATTGATCCGCCAACAAAACTGCGCTAATGCTAAAACAAACACGCCGATATCAATAGCTGCATCTACTATACGCTCTAGAAGAGCTGCCGCGACAGGCAGCACTGATATTGATGACGGAATTGATATCTCCGACTCCGAGGGTGAGAATGATTCCACGGAGGGGCATCCGGTATTGTCGTATAGTGGACTGGAAGCCAATTCAATCCCACACCTGGAAGAGGGGACTGCTTCTGGTTTGAAGACAGGGGGTTGGTTGTGTTTCCTGGGACTTGCATTGGGGGCTCTTTTTTAGTTCTGGTGTTGGACTGAGGTTCTTGTGTCTGATATTACTGTATGTATACCCATATACCATATAAAGATGGTCCCATGAAGTAACTCGATTAAGTAGGATTATCTACGAACTCGAAAAAAAGTGGGAAAAAAAAACAGGTAATACAAGAAATAAGAACCCCTTACCCCGAATCTGCGTAGAAGTAAAGAACCAAAATTTGGCCCTGTTCCACAACGCGCTAGACATCCTGCTCAATGAATTGAACAATCTCAGTTCTATTTTTTGTATTTCCAACTGGCTTTCCTGCCATCCAGCATAGGATGGTAACCCAGTCGTCCAAGTTATTTTGCACCCCATCCTTAAAGTCCATGATCGGTGACGAACGGAGCTGTTTTCCGTGCCAGAACTGAAGGATGCAGACTTGGACATCCGACATCGTAAAGACGGTGATAGGGATGTATCGGTGGCCGTTATGGCCATTTAGATTCAGCGCTTGGCGACCAAGCTATAGGAAAGAGATACCTCACCTAAGTTGAGGCAACCAACACGGAGGGGCTGTGAATCGCCTATGTAGGCGTTGATATAGGGCTGAGAGTTATCCTTCGCGTTCGTCCAGCCTTCGAGCTTCCATTGGGATTGGGACCCGTACATAGAGCCAAGATCGTTACTACATAGTAAGGTTAGTTAGAAACAAAGGCGTTGTCGATCGTACAAGATCTTAGCGACTTACTCCTCATCTGCTATTCGATACGGCGCATCGCCGCCGAAGGAATTCTCCCCGCTCTTTTACTTCCTCTCTCTATAGTCGCCCATACGGTTCATTGTATTCTTATTGTTAGTCACCTTAATTTTTATATTTAGTACTGTCATCTTGCTCAGTGGACGTGTTTCGTATACTTACTATATCCAGTTAGTTTTGCTTATTATTCTTAGAATATTCGTTGCATTACAGCTGTGTCCCTATACTGTGCCACAGAGGTAGAATGGGTTCTAGTTTATCTATGTTCTATGGTAGTAAAAATACAAAATACAAAGTAAAATAAATCCTATAACATCTAACAAACCAGGTCTTAGAAAATAATGGGGGATTGCTTTTGGCTTGCTACTGATGTATCATTACAAGAATAATGGGCCACTTATGCGACATTAAGGCGTCTTTTTTTGGTAGTCTTTTTCTTGACGACATTCCACGAGAACGGTAGTAAGATCATTCACTTCCATGTCGAGCGGGATAGTTTGATCCCCACCAGCTCTTTCGTCTACTACTATGATTCCGTTCGTCAGACCATGTATCCTGGCAAGTCATACGACGCTAGTGACGACAAGCTTAGAGATTGGTACCGTCTCTTCCTGGTGCCCCGGAGCTGCTCACCGTGTCAGCAACAGTGCTCAGCCCAACGGACCCTTCCCGCAGGCTAATTTACAGGTTATGACTCGCTACGTGGAGCAGGGTATTATACCCCATACTTTGAACACTACAGTTCTCCAAGGTGATAACAAGGGCATCAATGACCAGTTACGGGCCTGGCCTCTTCGTCCGTACTGGAAGGGTAGCGGAAAGTCCTTGGCTTGCGAGTAGGATCAGGCTTCGACTGACACTTTTACCTATGCCTTCGATTCCTACAAGACGCCTCTGTATTAAGCGCTCGTACTGAGTATAGCGTTAAAGATTCCCGCATGTTATATTCCCACACTGTCTTTACACTGTACTCTATTATGTAGAATGTTGATCTGCCTATCTATCGAAAGATAAAACAATGAGTATACTATTTTCGTGAACATTGTAAACATATTCGTTGCAATTTAAGAGGATTACTTGTTCCGAACTCCTACTAGCCAACTAGCTTGGAATGACGTTGATACTCCTAAAACTGCGTTATCAAAGTGGGAGCGAGGCACTTCTCGATCTCTTTCTAATAAAAGTTAATCGTTTCGAGTGTAATTGTGCGTGGGTGGGATATACATGTTCTATTCACAATTAATCAATCCATATATGGCTGTTTACCAATATGATACGAAATTAGGCAGTGATGATCGACAAGTTCCATCCTACCCATCCCCACGTGGAAGAAGAATACTCCGCAAAGGATATGCGAGGTATGCTAACAGGACTCCAATACTAGTGAGTTGGCATACTGATCTCATGAACTATATTTTCTCGCTCAAGCGGCTGGCCGAAGTAAGGCCAAACTCGTTTGACAGGGGGCCATCAGGAGGGACTGCAGCACGTCTCCAGGAGGAAGCGCATCCTCGGAATAATTAATATTGGAGTCTGTGCGTGCGGTCTCTAGCCAAGGTTATCAATAGCAAGTCATTAAATAACCTTCCCTTTATCCCGGTCTCCATGCGACGCACATCATGCATGCATGCATGCATGGGGTAAAGTCCGAGTCATTTGTGTGACCAATATATATACCCACCCGGCGAGCCCGATGGCCTGGAGCTGTTGAAAAACCATCAAGCTGTCAATAAGGCAAACTTAGCGCTGAAACTACATATTAACAATGGCGCATGTGCATGCGAATGCGCAGCCCACTCGAGCGGACTCGGGACAAACGAGGTCTTCTTATCCCTTAAACAGAAAGCGACAGTTGGCCGAGATCCGACCGAAAGGTAGTTCACTCTCTGAGTGCGCGTGGGATATTAATACTATACTGAGGGGAGATGGATGGGCTAACAGAAGTTCACTGGAGTAGGTGGCTCGCTCCTCATCATGACAAATCCAAATTCAACGGAAACTCGGAGGAGGCAGCACGCTGACGCCCAGAAGTGTCAACGAGATCGGATGAAAGCAGCGCTGGGCCAAATAGAGCAGATAATGAGGATGGGAGGCGCGGGGAATGACGGAACGAGTGGCACCAAGGTATGAAGGTAACTGCCACAACCAATCCCCTGGTCTGACAGACAAATGTGCTATGTGCTCACTCGAAACTTGCTTGGCCAGGCAGAACTGCTCGAGACAGCGGTGGAGTATATCCAACACCTCCAGAAACAGGTCGAGGAACTGAGAGAGCTGGGTCACGGTGGCCACGCGACACCAGACGTGGATGTCCAGAGGTGCGCCGGATGTCAGAATCAGAGCCGGGGCTCAATGTCAGTAATTTAATCAAACCAACCAATAAGAAAGTTGAATTTAAGCACGATTTGGTGAATACTAGGCTGCGAGGCTTGTGTAAGGTGCCTACATGGCGCACCAGCTCGAGCTCATCTATCCTGCCAAGGGTCAGAGCATATTATGGCTATATCAACTGGGGTCCAATCGAGGCCTTCACGTTTCTTGCTGCGCTAAGAGGGTGATATAGGTGTGCCAGTCGGAAGAAGGACATTCGCGAATAGGACCTCGTGTTTCTGTAACATCTCAAGAAACTAGCCCGACCTGTAGCGTAGTTATGGGCAGGTAGTCTGAAGTGTTCTACATGAGGTGGACACGTTCCTGTATGCGATCGCAGGATTCGTCGGCGGAGGCTCATCTTGGCGAGTGCACGGACGGCGGAGAGATTTATTGGCGGCGCGGCGGGCCTGGGCAGCTTGGCATGCTGGAACTGCATCTATAGCACAAGGGCTGTCATGTCCTAGCTCGTATTGGGGCTGGCACATATAAAGACCCAATACGGATCATCCTGCTAATTCCCCTTTTGTCCCGGCAGCTCTCCAGAACCCTTCTAGAACCCTTCCAGAAAGGACAAGCCAGCGCGCTGCTGCTTTCTGCCAATCGTCAAGATGGTTCTTCAGCAGTATGACTATATCTTTGCTATTGGCACAATATTCGCATTCCTCGATGCCTGGAACATCGGCGCCAATGATTGCGCCAACTCCTGGTCGACGTCTGTTTCGTCGCGTTCGCTAAAGCACTGGCAGGCCATGATCCTCGGATCTATCATGGAGTTTGCTGGAGCGTAAGTTTATGACTTACTTTCCGCTTCCTGGCCTCGTACTCACCTTTGATTTCAGTGTTGGTGTGGGAAACAGTGTTTCCGATACTATACGTACCAAGATCGTCAAGATCGATGCTTTCGCCGACAACGCCCCCCTCCTCATGCTTGGAATGTGCTGCGCTGTGATTGCCTCTGCTATTTATCTTTCCATCTGCACTAAGTTCGGTCTTCCTGTTTCGACAACACACTCCATTCTCGGTGGTATTCTTGGAATGGGTATCGCGCTTATCGGTTCTGATGATATTATCTGGTGGGGAGGTGATATTAACTCTGGTGTTGTCCAGGTGTTCCTTGCCTGGGTTATTGCACCTCTCTTATCCGGTGTTGCTGGTGCGCTTATCTTTTTGATCACCAAGTATGGTATCCTATTACGGAATGATCCCGCCCTCAAGGCGTTGTACACCATTCCATTCTACTTCCTCTTGACTACGGGCCTCCTTACCAGTATGTTCCCTCAAGGCTCTAATATTTCAGTATCGGCTACTAATAAAACACAGTGCTTATTGTCTGGAAGGGTGGCAGTAGCAGGATTGACCTCGAAGGGCCTGAGATAGCTGGAACTGTTGTTGGTGTTGCCGTTGGGATGGCTCTTATCTCTGCCGTCTTCCTTTGCCCCTGGCTCTACCGCAGGGTCATCAGAAGTGACTGGCAACTCAAGCCTTGGGATCTAATATACGGCCCTCTTCTCCTTCGCCGTGGTGAAGTCCCTCCCCGTCCTGCGCATGTTGAGACTGTCCATAACTACTATCGCGGCCACAAGACCCTCGAGGAACTACAAGCCGAGCGTTCTACTGATGTCGAACAAAGCCGCAGCAACAGCAACAGTGAGCCTGAGTCCTCAGATCTCAAGGCAGAGCACCAGGTCACTGCCAACTCGGATAACGAGACGCAATCGGTGGATCCTGATGTCATCAACGTTTGTGGTCCTCGTCCCGAGGGAGCATGGTATAGTGGTCCAGTCCTGTTCTGGATGCTGAAGAAGGCCTTGCTCAATGGTGTCGAGCAAGATATTGTTAGCGACCAGAAGGGCGAGAGCAGACTCGCCGGCGATCTCGAGAAAACCCATGCCCATGCTGACCACTATAATAACGAAGCGGAGTACATGTTTTCTTTCCTTCAGATTCTGACAGCTTGTACTGCTTCTTTCACCCATGGTGCGAACGATGTTGCCAAGTTAGTTTTCCCACTTCACCTACCTACCATCGACTCATGCACTAAATATTCCCAGCGCTGTCGGCCCCTACGCAACCATCTATGCTATATGGAGAACTGGTGCCCTTGAAGGCGCTAAGACCGAGGTCCCCATGTGGATCCTGTAAGCCTCAATTCCCCAATATAAGGACGCTCCCGTGCTAACCCACATTATCCAGCGTCTTTGGTGGTGCCGCTATCGCCATTGGTATTTGGACATACGGTTATCACATCATGCGCAACCTGGGTAACCGTCTTACCCTGCACTCTCCCTCTCGTGGGTTCGCTATGGAGCTCGGTGCCGCCATTGCTGTCATTATTGCTACCAGGCTGAGTATGTCGCCTATTACCCCAACTTATTACAAGACTACTTGCTAACATGTCACACTCGCAGAGCTCCCCGTCTCCACTACCCAGTGTATTACTGGCGCTACTGTCGGTGTTGGACTTTGCAACGGCACTTGGCGAACGATCAACTGGCGAATGGTCGCCTGGATCTACATGGGCTGGATCATCACGCTTCCCTGCGCCGGTATCATCTCCGGTTGTCTGACCGGAATCATCGTGAACGCGCCTCGTTGGGGTATGCCCAACGCCTGATTTGGCTGGCTTTGCAAGCTTTCCTTGCTTGGCCACCTTCAATTCGGCGCTCTCTCCAGGCCAAACCGGGTTTCTTGTTTTCACCTCTGCCTTTGGTTGGTATTAAGCCATAGAATATATAATAATTTTCAAGGCAGCACATTCTCTAGTTGTGGGTTTTAAGCACTTTCTGGCCGAGTTTCACCTCCAGCAACTCCGCCTTGGTAGATTCTACGGGTTGTAGTTTGGTGGGCAATGAGCTCTTTAACTGCGTAATTTTCTCGATGTAACTTAAGAATCGGTCTAGTATAATATTAACTATCTTTAGATAGTCCCCCAAAGCAATACTAAAGATTTATAGACTTTCAAGAAGGAATAGCGGGGAGTTCAGGGAGGTGAGATTAGTTTAATACTAGCTAAAGCGAAATCATAAGAGGATCTTGTCGCATTCCACGGCTGGTTTGAGCCCGAAGGCTTTCATGCCACCTTGCCAGCTCAATGCGATTGCTGTTCTGGCTGAATTACGTAGCTCCGATTCATACTCCCCGATAACATGTTGACCGAGGGTTCGCGAATTTATTGCAACCTCAAGCCTGCGAGCCAGATCTGCAGCGTCACGCAAGGCAGTGTTGGCCCCCATCGCTCCAGTTGGGGGCATGGTATGAATCGCGTCGCCGAGTAAAGTCACATGGGGTGAGGGATCCCAGGAGGCCAGCTCTGGTGAAGCAGAAACCATCCACCGGGTTGATGTTTGAGTCTCGTCTTGCATCTCGAAAAGCACCTGCAAGTCAGGATGCCATGACTTGGTAACATATCGAGAAAGTTCGGCTGACTTCTCTGGGCTTAATGGCCAGGATGTGCCATTTGACGACGTGATATTCGAGTAATGCGTGACAAGCACCCAATACACGTATGGGTCGGGAAGCTGAGGTTTCGAAACTTTTTCTGCGTGTGGGAAACGGATGGATTCAAATAGCAAGGAGGTCCGAGACTCATCGTCTGGGTTTGAAACAAGCGACATTCCATGGTGGTACGCCTCGGGAAACCGAGCCAGAAATTCGGGGCTCAAAGGTGTCTTTCCAAAAATGATACGCATGCCGGTATCAATACCCATTAAATCTGGTACGTACTGCTTGCGGACCCTAGATCGAACTCCATCTGCACCAACAAGGAGAGTCCCGGTTTCCTTTGAACCATCTGTAAAGAATGCAATTGTGTTTCCGCCGTCCACGGTGTAGTGGTCGAAGCTCTTTCCGAAAAATACATGCTCATCCAAACCCGTCAGCAGAACCTCTCGGAAAGTGCTCCGATCGACAGTCTGGGGCTCCAGAAAAGTAGCCGACCCAAGGGGCCTAGGAGGGCCAGTGCCACCTAGTGGTGTACCATCGGGTTTGAGTCTCACGCCCCCCATGATCGTCTCGGCGCAGGTGTTCTCGAACAGAGCATATAGCTCAGGCGACAGGGTATCCCGGAGGGCGTAGATACCTTCACTGCTCACCCTCAATCTATACCCCTGAGTCCGGAAATCATTCCTTGCGTCCTGTTCAAAAAGCTTGAAGGGAATATTTCGTTTTTTCAGTCCCTGGGCCAAGCAAAGGCCGCCAAGCCCAGCACCGATAATCAAGATAGGATGAGACATGGGAATTGTGCAATAAGAAAAGGAGATGCCAGTATCAAAAGCAAGTGCAATTAATGTATGTCTTTGGGAGAACAAAACTGAATAGGCTTTTGTTTGGCACATCGCCAAATTTATACATCATCGTATCGACACGTGTGTTCTCAGCCATTGATCTGACAGTCGGATATCGGGGCTTAGCAGGCCCGACAAGTCAGCCATCTCGGGACAGTTAGATTGACTATAGTAAATATCATTTGATAAATTTGTAGAACTAAACCTTATGGTGAGACCTAATAACGGATAATGTATATATAAGCCGGAATAAGGCCGCTAGATTGGTATAAAAATAGATGGCTTATTAAGATCCGTTGAAAAAAATACGGGCTATTTTATTAACCACTAGACCACAACAAAAACTAAGGTTCCTGTTTATGCCATAGGGGGCCTTATTCCATTCTGAAGGATAACTAGATCTGCTGCAAAGAGTTAACACCCGCTACCCACGAAAGATATAACGATGTAGTATTCGAGTGGAGATTGTGAGCACGTTTACTTAATTTTTTAAGATATAAGCTTTCCCGTGATTAGGTCATGACTCATGACAGACCGGAACCTGACCCACGCTCCCCGTGGTAGACCCCTCCTATAGACTCTCTGGTGCGAACACAAATGGGCTCTCTACGATTATAGAAGGTATCAATTCCCTCAGAAAATGCAGAGATATAAAGTTATTCGATAGAATGATTTTCAATAGGGAGAATGATAATCCTAAAACTACAATACATAGGCCGGGAAGTCATTCCCACACCCGATGGAGGCGGTCACCACCAAGACGGTGACCTACGCCCCATATTCTATTCCTCCGGCAAATTCTTCTCTCCCATAATTTCCCTTGACAACCCGCTTACAACCTTTAGCAACTTGCTTATCGGTTACGTGATTGAAAGGGGGTTTCGAATCTTAAACCTTCTCTATACAGCTTCGCATCCCGGGAGGCCATGGACCTTCATCGGGGCCTACCTAAGTAGGTAGGTCGCTCACTGTGGGTGCCTAGGTAACCTGCTTATGTGAGTCCCCGAGCGACAGATTTTTCCACGAAGCAGCATCGCCGCTGAGCCTACTGAGCACCTGAGAAGTCTGATTTACTCATCAAGTACGATTTCCCTATCTCCCGACACCGAGTTTTTCAATCAGACCGCTATACCAAACTGTTAAGCTTAGAAATTTTGACATCTATGTAGGTTTTATATATGATACATGAGAAGAGAGAAGTGAAGTGAGGTATATATTGATGATATATTCAATTGCTAAGCACTCAAGCGTCCGATAGAGTATAATATTGAATAGTCTGAATAACGAAGGTAAAGCCATCTGATAGGTAAAGCCTAGTGAAACGGAGATTTGCTAGATAAGACAGCTAAGGGGCGATGGGCGCAAATTAGCAAGAAATGCCCATCCATTCCTTGATAAGAGCAACGAACTGCAGATGGTTGTTCGCGGCCTCGAAGAACAGGCCAAATTTGCCATCATCAATAGCAGTGACTGTGGAGTACGACGTAGTGGCGGCTCTGAATACTTTGCCAGGGGACCAAGTATTTCCATCATCACAGGAGTAGCGAATGGTACCATTCACCCGAGCGGACTTGCTGTTGGCGTTGGTGAAAAGCAGGACCTTAGTCTCGGCAGAGCCCTGGGTAGCATCAGGATAGGCCCGAGTGATAGCACCATTATTCGTGGGGTCAGGGAGCTGAGCCTCGATGCGGGGGGTACCGTACGTCTCGCCACCATCGTAAGAGAGTGCAATGATGCGGTGTTGACTTCCATCACCGGGGCGCGAGTTTACCATCAAGGTACCGTTCGACAACTCAACAACCTTGTTCTCATCCATGCCTTTGCCAATGGGCTTACCCATCTGCCATGTGTCACCTCCATTATCGCTGTAGACGATATAGGTTTGGTTGATGATCGAACCGTCGGATTGAACGACACTTACAGTAAACTGCTGTACAAGACGTCCAGCCTTAAGACCATATCGGAGCTAAATACCCTCACCAGATGCGGCAAACATAGCTTTCACACCGCCCACATTAGCAACTCCATTCACGGTACTACCGATAGGCTTGACTGCCTTAGTGAGGAGTGGTGGGGCACTAACCGTGCTAGCGGCAACAGGAGGGGGGGGGGGGGGGGGGGGGGGGGGTTAGGCTGATTCGAAGGGTCCGTAGACCAGGTAAGACCCTTATCGGTTGAGACCGAGACCTCAGAGCTAATAACGTTGCGATTGGTGTCATCATTGCCAAGGACGCCGCCGAGGAAGCCCTGGTCCTTAGAAAACACGTGAAAGTTGAAAACTTTCCCAGTCTCGCGGTCATGGATGTAGCTAGGATCGCTAAAGCCGTACTGGAGGGCCGTGGGACTCTTGATCTGGCCTTGGGCAATAAAGGTGGGCTCGTCCCAGGTCGCGCCATTATCTGTACTACGGCGTTGCAGGATGGAGTTCGGAGACGGGGAATCTCCTCCATCGGGACGGTCATCGTAAGATGCGAGGATAATGTTGTTGCCTAAATAGGTCAAATCCGATACTGGGCGATGGGTCCCACGCCCTTGGTGGCGAGGTTAATCTCAGCCACCGCTTCTCTCGCTTCCAAAGGTACAACCGGGCTTGCTACAGACAGAACTGTAAACAGACTAAGGGCACCCACAAAGGAAGCTTGCCTCATTTTGTGGAACATGTTGAACCCCGCAACTGCAAATGTAGGAAGGCGAGGAATCGAAGTGGAGGTTCGAAGATATGCCCTCAAAATGGAATGCTGGTGAATAATGATGTTTCTATTTTGGTGTAGTGCATACAGGCTTATATACTTCGTAAGGGCTACATGGAACTTTCATGCAAGTTGCAAGTATGTGAACGACACAGTGTCTGAACTTATTGGAGATAGGTCAAATGGCCCCGAAAACAGAGAAGCTGCGTCTCAATTGAGCAGGATATATTGAGATGCCCCGCAATATAGAGAGGTCGAAGATCCGCCAGCATGATAGAGGATTGATTTGATAGGACCCATGCCGTATCTCATTCTACTGGGGCCATGGAGCCTGGAAACGAATTCATCAAATTAGCTTTACCCAGGAATATGAGGCGAACTGTCCTGACATCCTCTTATCCAAATCTCCACAGATAATCCAAATGAAAAGCGAAGAGAGCCTTTAGTTTCGATGGACGAATATATCAGATTGACGCATGCACCACCTGGTTTTCCGAGCCGATCGCTTCGGCAGGGTAGACCAAGGGCAAAGATCTTAAATGAGTATCGATTTACACCAAGAGATTCCAAGACACAAGTAACTTAATCAGCGGCCCATGTAGAATTAGCAAAGGTTTTAGTGATTCAATTTATGGCTGAGTTTTATAGTTTGCCTTGACGCCTTCTATTGTAGTATTTCTGGATAGTAATCTACTCCGTATGGCTTACCACCTTTCCCGCATTTGCTATAATAACTGTTCCTGAAAATAAAGCTATTACGTAACTTACTCCCAGCCTGGTGTGTTTGTAGACATGACGGCTTGCAAAATGCCCGTAGATGCCTGCCCATGTTGGCCGTATGAGTTTCAACCCCGTCTCGCGATTGGATACACCAGGGTTTGATTAGGTCCTCGGCAATATAGCTTAAAAGAGGGAATTATCGAAGCACAGCTTGCTCGTACTCACATACCTGATCGTGAACGTTTCTAAATTTTTGTAGCTCTTGGCGGAAGTAGCGAAACCGATTGGTTGCATGGACTAATCCTAATCATGTTAATCTTCCAAACATGAGAAGCTTTCTCCAGCCGATAGGCTATATCAAAGCGGGGGAAGATTGTACGGTCCAATCAAACATGTCTGTGCTCTATCAGACAACGGTCCAAAGGAAGTTCCGACGCTCGCTTCACGAGATACGGGATCACCTAGGTGGAGGTCGACTGTGTACTAACTAGCGCCATGTCTCCGGGGAGTGTAAACTTGGCTATGCGGGGTACGTGGGAATCCAGGAAGAGATTGGCCATTTAATTAACTTGCCCCAGATATTATCAAGATGTTACCAGTGGCACTGTGTTATCGGAAGAGAAAGTAATTTGTGGGAACATAAGATCTGGGGCATTTCCTCGACAGAAAAACATCCAAGCATCCTACCATACCTCTCTCTTCCAACTTTCTTGCATTCTACGGCAATAAAGCCGAAGGGGGGCAATCCACACTCACTATGGCAGACCAGAATATCAAGCCCTTTAGCGAAATGGATTCTCCCAAGGACGATATTGATGCATCATCTGCAAAGGTCGTGGAAGGTATGGTAATCACTGTCACCAAAGAAGAGGTACACTCCACCTGAGCATTCCCAAACAGAAGAACATCGCTCACCACGGGACCACTGTTTATAGAATGATCGAATAAAGAGAAAGACCGATCTGGTCATCCTCCTCATCCTCATCTGGGTGTATTTCCTGCAGGTAAGACACACTGAGTAATACCCAAGTGGTGTATTATATGATTCTCATTAACCGTCTATTAGATTTTGGATGAAGGTGTTTTGGGAACGGCGGCGCTGTTCAATCTCCAGTCTGATATGAGTCTCGTGGGGAACCAGTATTCTCTCATTGGAACGGTTGCTCCCGCTGTACAACTGGCGTGGCAGCCATTCTCCGCATGGATCCTAGTCAATGTTCCCCCCCGTATTCTTATGCCAAGCATGATTCTCGGATGGGGTATCGCTGTGGCATGCATGGCTGCCTGCAATACTTTCGGAACCTTCATCACCGCTCGCTTCTTTATGGGTCTGTTTGAAGCCGGATGTATGCCTCTCTTCACCATTCTCACCGGTAGATGGTACCGCCGTATTGAACAGCCGATTCGTATCGCCCTTTGGTACTCTGGTAACGGCACAGGTACTATGGTGGCTGCTTCTTTGGCTTATGGCCTTAGCCATATCCAATCTAATGTCTTGAAGCCATGGCAGATGTAAGATACTCAGGATCGCTATACTTATGAGCACCGCTGACTATTATATAGCATTTTTCTATTTGTTGGTCTTATCACTATCGTCACCGCACCTTTCATTTACTGGAAGCTTGATAATGACGTTACTACTGCCCGTTTTCTTTCTGAACACGAGCGACACCCGGCGGTGGAGCGTCTCCGTGCCCACCAGAATAGTTCAACTTCCTACGAATTCAAGTGGTCACAGGCTCTTGAGGTTCTTCTAGAACCTAAGAGCTGGCTTTTTGTTACGATGGCCTTGCTCCCGAATATGGGCTCAGCCTTGCCTAGTCTTTTCGGTCCTCTCATCGTGACTGGTTTCGGTTTCGACAAGTTTCAGGCTGCCCTACTAAACATTCCCTATGGGGCTATTACAACAATCGTGATCAATCTTAGCTGCTGGGCCTTCCACAAATCGAAGCTCAAGTCTGTCGTTTTGGCTGCTTTTATGCTTCCTGTGGTGGTTGGAATCGCCATTCTTTACGCGCTTCCACATAATGAACAGAAAAACCAGGGACCGCTGCTATTTGCATACTACTTGACTTCATTTATCTATGCCGCCAACCCCCTTCTTCTCTCTTGGGTCGTTGGAAATACGGCCGGTGCTGCCAAGGTGTCCACTATGGTTGAATTTTACCAGGCTGGTACTTCCGCTGGTGCCCTCTCGGGTCCCCTTCTGTTCACCGCAGATCGGGCTCCCGCTTATCTTGCCGGTACGCGTGCTGTGCTCGGTCTCTTCATTGCCTTGCTTTGCTACGTGATCTTCAGTTCCTTAACCTTTAGTTCTTGAACAAGCAACACAAGAAGCGCAGAATTGCCAACGGTAAGGCTAGTGATATCAAGGATACCTCTATTACCACCGAGGTTGGCGTCGATAGTAATGTTCAGGGGCAGCAAGGGGAGGATATGCCTTTCAAGGACATCACGGACAAGGAAAACGATGAGTTTGTATACATCTATTAATGGAAAAGCTCTGAAACTCCCAATTGCGGAAACAAGGGGAAATCTTATTTGTCAGTTGTGAATGTCATAATTAGACGACCCAATGTTAACTTATGGATAGGGCATCAATTCAACTCTTCTGTTTGTCTAAATTTCTCCCCAAGGAAAAAAGCAATATGGTGACCGAGTACTGAAATACGGCATGTCCATGAGTGGTGACAGGATCTCTTCAGGAATCGGCCTCAAACGATCTAATATAGATACTTTCCAAAAGATTTCACTTGGGCAAATTTTCCCCCACCTAGCCCGTCAGATCCTATATTAAACCAGCTTATAAAAGGCTTCCGCCTTATAATATAAGGTGCTATCTTACTCGCTAAAGAAAACAAGGGATTGCGCGCCGCCAACGAGAAGTAGAAGCAAAAGAGTACTGGGTCCCAGAAGTAGATATAGGCAGAAGTAGGCCGTTTAGTACAGGAAGCTTCTCAATTTATTACTGAGCCGCTGGAAGCAATTAAAGCACCTCCCTCCCCTCTACGAAGAAGCCCTTCGCCGGCTTTACAGCCACGTATGCGGGCCTCGCCAAAGTGTAGTGGCTATAGAGAATAGAGCATAAAATCAGTAGATGTCCAGCTAGACAGATGATTTTAGTATATTTAATTTAATGGCGTTATGATTAAGATAAATGCATTTAAAATAGGTAGGTTGGAATAGGTGCGCCACTCGCTTGCGTGCGCCGCTCGCTTACCGAATACGTTAGTTAACTATTGAATAGTGTTATTTTGATCTTAGGTACAAATAATTGCAACAGCTTGATGAACACTAGAAGCTCGAAATTACACTCGGATTATATCATCATGATCCTCGCTTTTCTACGTCAAGAACGAGTCGTGTTGGCTGCCACTCAAAAAAATACTGCTTCCATTCTGCAGAAAAGTCAGGATAACCTTTTGATAGGGAATAAAATAGGGGCTCTGCGCCAAGTATAAAACCTTTGTAAGGACGAGTGCGATTCAGCCCCCCTCCCCCCGCTCCCCACTGGTGCTCTGCGATGCGAGGCTACCCAACGCTCGACCGACAGGGGTTGATTCAGATAATGCGACTAGAACGATCGGGAACTCAACCCCCGCTTCTTGAAACCCACTTGCTGGCTGCTGCTTGGTTGTCTTGCTTCGTAGTCATAACTCATTCACCAATAGTACCAAGTACCTCATGCAGTTCGACGTTCTAGTATGCCCAATAGCTGGCCAAGTTGCCCCGTTCCCTGATGCGGGCGGGCGCTTAGGTGATGCTCTTCTTCGCCTCCAACGCCTTGGGACGCCTTGGGCTGATCGTAACGTATCTCTGCGGCCGCAATCATTCCTCGTTACCCCTCACCCGACTCCCCGATCTCGCTGCAAGGTTGAGTTTCCAGCCTACCGACACCTTCGAATCTAAATCATATATTTATATTTCTGCCCATTCATCCTGGCCTTCGCGGCATAAATACCAGCCAGTTTGTTTTCTCACCAACCCATTGGAAGAACGGAACCGGTCCCCGTGAGAAGCATGGCGTCTACAATACCATTTGGGAGCTCGAATTCGGGGTTCCAGATCGGTCTGAACCACGGCTCGGTCATCAATAACTTTGACTTGTTTATTGAAGAACGAAGGGACAAGGACCCAAAAACATGTCTTGAATATCTGTTCGTCACGGAGCCCGAAGAGGATCTCAATATGTGGAAGCGGAGGAAAGGACCTCGTACCTCAGGGACCTTCAGCTGGTTCTTGGAATCAGTAGAGCTCAAATCTTGGTTTCGGCAAGCAAAAGCCGCAAGCGATATAGAACAAAACGTCTTGTGGCTACACGGCAATCCGGGAATCGGCAAGTCCACAATGGCCATGATGCTTGCTGAAGAACTACCTAAGAAGGATTATTTTTCTAAAACTGATAGTATTCTCTCATTTTTTTTCTGTGATTCCAGCTCTGAACATCACAGAACGGCAACTTCTGTGTTGCGAGGTTTCCTGTACCAAATCATCAAGAAACATCCATCGTTTATGGAACAAATGATGCCAAGATATGAAGCTCAGGGAAAGCGTCTTTTCACGTCATTTGACGCACTTTGGGCGGTACTGATGGATTTCGGCCGAGCGTTGAACGGTACCGAGATGTACTGCATTGTCGACGCTCTCGACGAATGTGATTCTGAATCACAAAATACACTACTGGAACAAATTCATCAATCATTCAAACACTGGAATGAGACCAGTCTGGGCCCATGCAAACTGCATTTTTTAATCATCAGTCGTCCGTACCCCGGGATCCAGTTTTTTCTATCCACCTTTCGATTTGTTGATCTCGGCTCATGCAAGGAGATAGCCAATGACTTAAGAGCCATGATTCAAGACAAAGTACAGGACCTTGCAAAGCGGAAAAATTATCCTGAGTCTGTTCGGCAGAACGTGTCACGGATATTGGAAGAGAAGGCGGACGGAACATTTCTATGGGTTGGGATTGCCTGTCGCGACTTGCATCGGGTACCTTCACGGAGGGCAGTTGAGACGCTACAGGCTAAACCTCGTGGATTATATCCTTTATATCAAAATCTGTTTAATGCAGCTGTCGAGGCCAACGACCCACATGATGACTCACAATTGAAGATGTTGTTGACGGTTGTCACATTTGCGTTGCGACCACTGAAGGTAGCAGAAATAGCTGAGGCATGTCGATTATACTTGGACGAGGATATCAGGACTCGCCTCCAGTTCACCAAAGAGGTCATTGAGTCGTGCCACTTCTTGATTGTCATCGACAAAAGCTACGTGCGACTGCTACATAGGTCTGTCCAAGATTTTCTCATGAATGAGATAGATGATTTCACAGCTGTGAAATCCAATTATGTTCTATCATATCGCTGCATTGAGCTAATTTCCCAATATTGTCGGCCCGGTATGGACAAGTCAATGATGGAGCCGACTTACGGATTTCTTGGTTATTCTGTACTGTATTGGCCGAAGCATGCAAGCTTAGCCGAAACAGAATTTACCGTCCTTGAAGAACATGAAAATTTCTTCCAAAACAAGTTCGGGACATGGAAATGCTGGCTGGATAATTATAACCATTTGGAAAGAGGCCCATGGGGTTGTGCTTTAGGAACAGGCATATCTGTCGTTCATGTCGCAGCTCGATGGGGAATTATACCCCTCCTCTTAACCGCCCCTCAAAGTGCATGGGAAGACAAAGATGACCACGGACAATCGCCATTACTCATTGCGACTGAAAACACTCAAATTGAAGTCATGCGTGTCTTAGTTCAGTCTAAAGTGCGGTTGCATTCTCTAAACAACACGCATCAAAACGTACTTCACGTTGCATGCAAGAATGGTCGCTTTACTGACTATGAGATGGTAAAGTCTCTACTCGACAAAGGGGTCTCCCCATATATCTGTGATGAAGAGAATATGACGCCTTTCCTCTACGCAATTGGGGACCGACGTACAGAACTTGCTCAAACCTTTCTCAATTATGGCTTGAACCTGGAATTTAGGGTTCAAAGGCGGTCGTGGCCCGGACGAATCACAATGAGCCGCTTACCATATGGAATGGTTGAGAGCCAGGAGGAGAACATGGAATCCGGGCTAACAGCACTCCACTTCGCGGCCCTGAATGCATGTACAGAAATAGCTGGCCTCTTGCTTCAGTGTGGGGCCGATCCTAATACCCGTTCTGATTTTGGAAACACTCCGCTACATCTTGGGATTAGGCACCGGCTTTTTGGCCGTAGGAATGACGATGAATGGGTAGGTCAGTATGCCGTTGAGGCAGTGACTGACTGTATTGAGGATTATGAGGGTTTAGAAGCTTCTGATATCTATCGAAACATCAGCGATGAAAGGATACGCATTGTTGAGACACTCCTCGAAAGCGGGTCTATCAATGTCAACACGGCTAATAATCATGGGGACTACCCTCAACATTTGATCGACTTCCATCAACCTCAGGCGTTGTCTATCTTAGAAAAGCTCATGGAAAATGGGGCCGATGTATCACAACCAAACCGAGATCGTCAGACGTGTCTTCACCTCGCTAGCAAGGCAGGAAACCTGGACGTGGTTCGCAAATTCATAGAAGAAGGTCATGATATCATGTTGGAGGACTCCCAAAATCGCAGCCCATTTTACTATGCAGTCTCCATGGGTTTCCTGGATATCCTATCTTTAATATCAAAAACCTGCGATCGCGTGCTTTCAGAGGTTTGGAGCTCCCTCGACCACTTCGGCAGAACTCCGTTACATCATCATGTCGCAGCTACTTTTTGCTCAGCTGAAGTCCTCAATTTCCTAATACAAATTGGTTGCGATGTCAATCAGTCGGATAGGGCCGGAAACTCGCCCTTGGGCCTCTATGTGAGCTCATTTCACCTATCGATTCAGAGTGATATATTCCTTTTGCTTGTTCAGAAAGGTGCCGATCCGCACTGGATCAATGAACACGGACAAACATTAGCACATCTTGTCATGCATCACCAGGGAGCAGATACCACGATCCTTGAGTATCTGTTTACCGTGGGTGTAGATCCAGCTACCACAGATCTTGACGGGAGAACATTAATGCATCACGGAGCTCTTCATGGTGCTTTTACTGAGGATCTAATAGATTTTCTTGATTGCCGAGGTGTCTTAGCCCATTATCTAACGGCCACAGACTTCACCTGCAAGACTCCTCTCGACTATGCGAAAGAAATGGCTCTTCGAAATCCACACAGAGATGTGTATGATAACCCAAGATGGGAAGAATCGTTGAAGAATCTGAATGCGAAATTGCCATCGTGGTATGTATTCATTTCGGCTATAATCTGTATTCAACAGCTAATCTAAAGCAATCCTAGAGAAGGTGCGAAGTGATCACCGTGTTTGGTATTTAACATGATTTCTCGCTTGTCTCGCCGTTGTATGTAATGAATTAGATGGCTTTAGCCATAATTGCTTCCCTTAAATCTGGGATTTATAACAGATGGCCCCCACTTCTCATTCTCTTGCACGTTTCCCGCGATGACGACGAGGTTCGTTGGGTTTTCGGCTCTTCAACTTGGAGTGGTATAACATAATCGCGCTTGAGCGTACACTTTGCCTGCCTGTAGGTTGGCAGTCCCTAACGTCTGAGCAGTCTGATTCAATTTCATCATTCATGAAGTCTGCATTTGAGGAATCATCAGAGCCGTCGCTGCTTTTGCTCATAACCACGTTGGATGGCGCAGGCTTTGGTCTTTGTCGTGAACTACGCAGCCGTCGCCGACGAGCCCGAATGACTACCGGACCAGCAGAACTTTCTGTGGGGGGAGGACTCTGTCCTGCGGTCAAGACCGTCATCCCTATGCCTGTCGACTCATTTTGCCTTTTCGGCGAGGCAAAAGAAGGGTTCTCATCGTCGTGAGTAATAGTTTGTTTCGAGGAAGGAAGGTCTTGGACCCTGAGACGTAAATATTATGTCAAATATGCTTCGTCTGTCCCCTTTTTGCCTACCTACCAACCAAAATCTGTACGTCTTCCCAACACAAATCAATTCGCCCGACCCCGACTCATTTTAAGCCATCTTCATTGATCATATTATGATATTTTTTTCCAAACATGTACGGGCCTAGCAAACCCCTCCTCATCCCTCTCAACCTGCAGTATACTCTCAAATCCCTGCGCTTTCAACTCATCCTCAAACGGTGGCCTGATCTGGATCGTCTTATACGTCTCTCTCAATTCTTTATTCCTCTTCGAAGCTCTCGCGTAATTGCTCATAGGCTGCGGCTCCACGACGAGATAACCCCCGTCATTCAGTATGCTGTATATGTGCGCAAATAGCGTCAACATCCCGGAGTCCCCATTGTTGAGATGGATCCACTTGGTCACAGAAAGCAGTAGGACAACGTCGAACTTGCCCAGCGCGGTACCCGTGTACGCGGATGCATCCACGAAGTCAAAGTGCTCGAATGTGCACGGCCCGTCCGGGTACGCCGCCTTGGCCTGCTCGACCAGCCACGGGTCAATATCGACGCCGACTGCGGCGGCCGCGCCGCAGTACGCTATCGCCTCATGGGTCAGTTTGCCCGCGTTGCAGCCTAGGTCTATGACTCGCGCGTTGCGGAGGATATCTGATGGGAGAATGGAAAGACGCTCGTCCGGAACGGTGGGAGCCCGGAACTTGGCATAATATTGGTGGTAGTTGCCATGGCGCGCGGCGAGGTGTGTAGCTTTGAAGCGCTCTGCTTTGGAGAGTTCTGTAGCAGGGGGATGGTCACGGCATGCTTCTGCCATACTTGGAGATAGTGCGAGTAGGGAGGCACGTGTTGGTAGTGATATTGATTATATCGAGAGAAAAATGTGGAATGATGTGTATGATGTGACTAACGTTAAGTTTTAGTACACTAGATAGGCCATATGTTAGGAGTTATAAGGTCTTGAAATTTTGTGATGCCAAAATTTTGCTTCTACCCCATTGGTCATCTGATAGATTATAAGTGGGCCTGGAATTTATCTGATCTGAGCCTTGTCCAGGTGGTCTAACCCATGGTGGCTTAATGTGTTCACAGATTAGATCTGTCCAGTCCCAGGAAGGGAGCAATATTTCCCGAAGTACGGTGGCGAAGGGGTGTGAAAGAATGTGAAAGGGGATTCCTAGGAGTTTAAGAACTCGTTCCTTTCGGGATATCCACATTATGACGTCAGCTTTGCTGACTGTTTGTTTTTCGGGTCCCCGCGTCTTCGTTATGCCCAGGTACAACCCCCAACATCCATAGGTCGTACTCAATATGCCATTCAGACAGGCCCTTCAGGGCATTATCGATAAGGCAGACAAGGCTTGGGAGGAATTAACCCATCAAGCCCCTCAGCCGGTACCATCGTACAACAACACTCCCCCACCGCCTATTCCAACCTCTAGTAAACCACCACTAGCTTATCAGGAACAGTACTCGCAACCCCAGATCTACTGGCAGCCCAATCTACATCCCGAAGCACCCGTGTCCTCCAACTTTTACCACGAACAGGGTCAACATGGATGGGGCAACAACGAGGCGCAGAATTATGTCGATAGCCCACAAAACTCATTCCATTCAAGCCAGGGCGATGCATTGATCGTGCGCGCTCTGATCAACCACGGGCATCCCGACCCTGCCCAGAAGTTTACCAGCGCCAGATTGTCGAGTCACCAGACCCTTGACCGACCACGGGGCTGTCTGTCGGCCAGAATTACGGCGCCGGTGGCCCAAGGTATCTGGCCTGCCTTTTGGCTGCTGCCTAAAGACCCCTTCAAGTGGCCCGAGGATGGCGAAATCGACATCATGGAAGCGTGGAACGGCGATGCTGTCAACCACACTTGTCTGCATTGGGGCCACTTCAACGGCGAGGACTGGAACAAGCATCGCGTTCTTGAAACCCCCATCCCCAACATTAGCTCGCCGGTGGGGGTGAGGTACGATTTTATCTGGGACGAGGACGAGACAACAGGCGGGGGGCGGTTGGTTTGGTTGATTGATGGCACGCCCATCATGAGGGCCGAGAAGCCGCCTGGCACAAGGAAGATGAGTGAGTTCAGAATCCTCATCAACATCGCTGTTGGAGGAAATGTCTGTCAGGGAAATATGCCCAGTGATGGATGCTACGAGACAGTGGTTCGTGAGTTGGCCATGTGGGATGCGCCACCTGGGGGTTGGAATGAGCTTGATAGGGCTTGGGCTTATTCCAAAGATGGCAACACCATGTAACGAGAGGAAGGAATTTACAAGGCAAAGTAAATCGACTATACTCATCCCCTACTTTCTACAAAAGGTATTTCTGGCTAGGCGAATGAGATGAGTTTAAAGCTCAAGTTTAGCATGGGATCATACCAGTCTTTTTCGGCTTTGTTTTTTATATCCTTTGGCTGTATCTAACCTTGGAAACATCTTCTGCCATGGAAAAAAAAGAGCAGCTACTTATTCTAATATCGATTGACCAAGCCAAGTCTAGTCAGCTATTTTTGCTATTGATCCCTAACTTATGCGTATAGACTTATCCCTTTATGACAAAGAATCCGATCTATCATGATCACGTTTACACTATACCAACTGGGGTATCATAATAAAGCCCGGCCTACCTAGCTTGCGAATCTCTCCTCCTAGGCGAGATCCTTTAGAATTGATATGCAGTAGTAGCCCGTTTCAAACACAAAAATTGGTCCTCAGAGTATCTCCACCACGACTATGAATGATGTGGACTGGATACGAAAAGATGCCTTCCCACATTCTTGTCTTAATCTCGACCAGAATTCGGATGAGATGATGCCGAACAAACGGCTCCAGTTTAAATTGACTTGGGAAAGGATCGTCGCCGAAACAACTGGGGGCCAAAACACACGTGAACAAGATTAGATTCCATTTGAAGCGAGTCTCATATTGATAGTCAAGACAAATCCTCATTTTCGATGTTTTCGATGGGGGAGAATATGGGCCGAGGCTGACCATCTCACCCACCATCACAAGCTATTGCGATGTCTTCCTGCTATTCGAATTGCTCGGAGCGACCGCCCCCCTTGTCTCCCGATAATGATATCACTGGACCTGGAGTTTGTCCCCTAATAGTGTGCCAAAGTTATGATTCTTACAAAATCAGGTTATCACCAACTACGTTGCATCTGCAGGAATCACCGTCTTCATAATTCTGCTTTACTTCTTTGTGGTTTTTGATCCAGCCCGTGATCCATTCGAGAAGGATGAAAAGTCTCCAGAAGACCCGCCATTTCGTCCCAATGCGATTGATCTGCTGATTACGCGCAAGGTACGGGGCTGGGGTCAGGGGTGTATGAGTAGATGCCTCAAGAACAGACTAGAGAAATCATTTGTCGGGGTACTGTCCTTACCACTCATCTGTTCGGTGCTTCCTTGCCGCGAGATCATCGCTAATTCATACTAGTGTGTCGTCGCAATGGGCGACCTTCAACTCGTCACAGGATTCTCAATCCTTATCAGCGGTGCTTTTCAGCTAAGTTGCAGCCTCACTGTCTACGAATGGCAAATTGCCGTCTATCTAGCATGGTTCTCTTGTCTGACTCACCTGTCTTGTCTGATGGTCCTGCGAAGCTACCTTTACGTCCACACCTTTGGACGAACCTGGAGGCTGGTCACGATGGGGGTACTCGCCATACTGCTGATAGTCGGGCTACTTCCCACAGCTAATTATGCCGATCTTTTCAATTCACGTCCTCGCCCTTCAGACTATGCCAAGTGTTATTTGAAAATTCGCCCCTCCTCGGATATAGCACTTTGCTCAATGGTTTTTTCGGTCTTGACTATAGCTATTGGGTTCATTTCTCGCGTGATGAAATTACACAAAATCCTTTCCGTCACGCTTTGGGGAGGGCTCAGAATCCGGGCCAGTCTTCAGGCTCGGGCCATACTGCGTGCCATATACAAGTGGTGTACCACAAGCCGCCCCGTGCAAGGCTTGGGGTTCTCTCTTGTATATCGACCTCTATTTGCAGTCTTCCTTGTAGCACGTTTTGCGTTAGACGCGTGGGTCTCCATGTTTGTAGAGGTATGTTCACGTGTTATTGCTAGCCTCACTATTATTAATTTGATCTGAACAGGCGCTGTGGCTGTTCATTGCTTTTTTCTGGGGTGTTCTCCGTCTTATGGCCGCGCTTAACGACACTCCCAAGGATCAAGATTTGTGGACAAAGACCGCAGGGCAGAGCAGAGATAATTGGACTTTTGGACAAGTCGTATCGTTGGTGTTAATGGTGGCACCTCTCATGAACCTGTTGGAATACTTCGACCAAAGTATGTGTCTCTCTCAACACTGCAGTGCCTTGAAGTGGAGAATTAATTGCCCGATTATAAATAGATCCTACCCCTGGTGCCCGAATATCGCTGCCTAGGGATGGTATTGAGCCCCGCGAGCCTATGGGACTTTCTTCCAATCCTGTTCCGCCTCCATTCATGGAGGAAGATCCAGATCCCAAAAGCCTTGATGGGAACTGGTCTAACCATTCCGAGACTCTTGGGACGGCGATTGTCTACGGTCTTCTCTCGATGATGAATTTCGTCATGCAGCTTTTTTTGCCCTCTATAAACAAACCCCTGCTCGAGATATTGATCAGTCTAGAATGGGGTGTCAAGGTGATTCTTGCGTTGACGGGCACGTATGGAGTCGTTCTGTTTTCTTTGTTTCTTGAATCGGAGGTAAGCAAAGAGAGAAAGAGGACTCGACGCTGTCTTCAATTTTTGAATATTGCATTCCACGTGCTCAGCTTTAACTTTGGGGCTGCGTATCCGCTTAACCAAAGTCAGATTATGTTGAATTTCATGCAACCTTTTGCCCTCGCCTTTTACGGGCTGTTGGCTGTCAACAGCAAATGGTATCAAAGTCATAGATGACATGTATTAACATCTCAACAAAATCATACACCCTGAGCTATCGTCTCTGTTTACTACTGGATTGATTATTTTGAAAAGGAAAAGTGCACACAATAGTTTGGAATTCAGAGATATGTTATTGTTGACGGGGGTAACCATAAACATGTAGAACGCGAACCCATCAGAGTCGTCATTATAGCTCATTTTCAGGAATTCAATAGTGAATATCTCACTCTAGATTGACACTTGCAAGCTCAAATTATTCAGCTTGTGTATTGAGCCGAACTTTTAACAAAATCCCAGCCCATTTTGGCTCCCACGGTGGGCATTGGGCTTTATCGGCTTTGCGCAAACTACCATTCTCATCTCCATAGTCATCAGATTCTAAGAAAAGGATCAATCCAGGATCAATCCGTAGAATCATATCGGCTAATCGGATAGGTTCCAACTTGAAATTTGGGGACTATGAAGAATTGTACAGTGATATAGCTTCATTCACTATACCCTCGTTAGATGGGGTACATTCTTGTGAGGGATTTGACATAGTGGCCCAGGTATGTAATCTTTTTTTCTGTCGACCCCAAAGTCAAGTGTCACAGGGTATCAAGGTTGAAAGGCATCGGAGGTGGGGCGTGTATACATCTTCTCAAGTCCACGATACTCAAGATCGAAATAATGAGATCCTATTCAGGACTTTCAGCGTCACAACGGACACATCCGATAGTGTTATTGATTTAAGTGTTTCTGCGTACTATTAGCTAGTGTTTTCATGACATCTAGTGGGCGCGACGAAAACTGGATAATAGACTCACATTTTCTGGAGCTCTGGGGTTACCAGCGGCCTCGACCTGGTTACCATCTTCGAGTGGAATATTGGATTTGGGATTTTTGTCATCTTTAGGTCGACTGAACTCAAGGTTAGCTGTGCAGCAGCACACTAAAGCCGCCAATCCTTCCAAAAGAAGCCCCACTGCAGAATCCATTTCCTGGGGCTTTAGATGGCAGTCACCCTCTTTCAATATAGGTTTGAGTTACAGAAAAAAGTGAAAATGAATAGTCCTGTCCAGATATATAAGTCTTTTGTTAGTATCAACCTAGTACAAAATGGCCTGCAAGGCTCTGTTAGGACACCGATATGATATTGTGACGTCAAATCAGGGGCAAACCGGTTGAGAACCTCTTCCCGATTAACACAGCCCTGTGGCAGTTCAATAGGAAGTCAATGCTAAGTGGTTGTTCCCTACGTGGAGCCAGAATGCGGGCCTTTCAACTTTTTTCAGTGCCCCGATTTGACTATTTCACTACCTATACGTATATAGTAACTACAATTTATGGGGCTCAAGGAGAATTCTTGAAAATTCTCCCTGAAAATTCTCCCCTGGCGATCATCTCGTGAATGGGCGTAATTATTGGCAGCTTCTTAAGATCGAGGCTGTGAATATTGCATTTCCACGATAAGCTCACGATAAGCCGTTGCCAAGGACACACCTCAAACCTCTCCAGGGCTGTATCGAACACTTGTCTCAGGTAAAATATTCCTTCACCTTTGTCAACACCGCATTTATTTATCCCTATACAAGCATCAATCCTTCCAACGTCTCCTCAAAAACGAATTGCCTTCCCTCAGTAAACCCCGCTATGGCGAAGGAAACAAACATAAGGACACTACATGACCACCTCACTGGCGGAGAGAATGATAATAAACAACATGTATCATTCCATCCGCGCCATATTACCCTCGAAACCTTCCATAGCCTACTATCCCACTACCCTTCAACAGTAGAGCGAGTGCACCGCGGCAAGCTAATGCTGAAGCTCCAGTCAAAGGCAGGGAAGGCACCAAAGCGCAAGGCGGAGGCGAAGGTCAGCGCAGCGCCGACCACGCAGGCAGAGCTCGATCCGTCTGAGGAGAAGCACATTCTCGAGGAAACGGATAAGTTCCTCCAACTTGACCGGTGGCGATATGAAGTTCTGCCGAAGATTATCGCGGAGCGGGCCAATGAGGGTGGGCAGAAAGGAAGTGTACCGGAGGGGGGCCATTTGCTTAAGGAGGAGTTAGTTGACATCATGGAATGGAAGACGTGAGTAACAATTTTCTGTATCTATGCTACAGGTTCGGCTTTTTCTGACTTAACTCTAGGAAACATGGAGTCTCCCGTCCCATGCTTATGGGAATGGTGAAAAGCAACCAAGACGCGACGATCACCAAGTCTACATCTACAGCGTTTTCCGCCCTCCCAGATGCGGACCCGGTGGTTGCGCCGAGTGACGCATTTCCTAAAGCCAGTCTTGATGCCCTTACCGGGCCTATTCGTGGTGTCGGCCCGGCTACTGCATCTTTGATTTTGTCTATTGCTACGGTCTTTGGTGATGCTAAGAAACAAGTCCCCTTTTATAGCGACGATGTGTATCTTTGGCTGTGTCTGATGGATTTTCCAGAGGGTCAGAATATGAAAGAGCAGAAGCCTTCTAAACATAAGAAGCCTAATGGGGATTTGATTGTCAAGTACAATATGAACGAGTATCGGGAGCTATGGAATGCTTCACAGGAGCTGCGGGTACGGCTGAACAATGGCGCTGGAGACGCACCTGTCTCTTTTATCGATATAGAGAGGGCTGCTTATGTGCTCCGCAATATCTCTGTCTCGGGTTACTATGCTAGTCAAGAACCCGAGGCGGGTTTAAATATTGTGAAAGAGTTGGAGTTGGAAAATAGCCAGCTACCAAAGGAAGCGAAGAAGGACCCTGGCGAGCTTGGCGTGAGGCGTAGTAAGAGAGTAAAGCAAGAAGCTATATGATGAAAACTGTGTATTATTGAGAATTGTGCTTTTCATACTACAGTCATTTATTTTCATTTTTCCAGCTGTAAAATGAGAAGGCAAAGAGGCATCTTAACAAGGATCCAATAAGACATCCAAAAAAGACAACCTGGGATTATCCTCGATATGACCTCTAATATCATGACAAAATGGATTATGTCGCGCCTTCTGAACCCTAACAAGCACCTTTGTTTTCCTCGCCCCAAGTCTCCCTCTCTTTCAACATGCACCTCGACCTGCGAAGAGTGAGTTGACAATTACAGAAGACCTCTATCCGGATACAGAAGTGTGGTTGAATTGGAGTGACATGGAGGAAAAGGTACCGGCGGGGAGTAGTTGCTTCCTCCAATTGATTTCCGATGATAAGGAGAAACAGAAACAGAAGCGAAAGCCCTTTTGTTCAACAGAAACCAAGATGCAACCGGATTCGGATACAGGGGCTCGCGCCTAGCAAGTTACTTACAATACTGCAAATACATACTCAGGTATTTTGTTCGAGCCTCATCGGTGGGACCCTAGTGGGGACGATTTAGTGCGGATCTAGTTGTAGATCTGTATGGAGTATGTATTACATTCCATGCTACAAAGTACACGTCTTGCACATGACTGCTTGGGTAGGAATAGTTCAGATAATTGGATGTACTTAGTATCAAGTACGCCATTGGAGATAACACAAGACCGCAAGACTACCCTGGTTACCATACGTACTACGTATTCAGAACCACGTCTATGCCAAACCAGTCGCATTTTTTTTTAAACTCATCGCTATGTACAAATTCATGGCCGTCAAGTCTTGATTAAAAGCAGATATCAGATACAGGAGAGACGCATGCATCACAAGAATAAAAAGTGGGTAGGGGGGGAAGACACAAGAAAATCGTCAGATCATCATGCAATTCATGCATCACGGGCCATCGTCAAGATAACCGGCTTTTCCAGTGAATTGCGTTTCGACATGACGGGAGGGGTGAGGAGAAGTAGAAGTAATGGCGAATGGTGGAGAAAGATGTAGGATGGAGGAGACGTGATGTCTACCGTTGAAGGGAGAACGGGGAAGAGATGAGAGAGGTCAGAACGGTAACGGCACTGGCTAAACAGTCGCAGTACAGATCAGATCGAGGCGCGTGAAATGATAGCAGGGTGTTGTACCCCGAGGGTTTTTTTTTTAATGTTTTTTTTTTTTTCTTATAATATTGATTGGCGCTATTACCGCTTGGACGGATTGGGTTTGCGCTCGGCAGCACGCTTGGCCTTGGCAGCATTTTCCGTGGACGCGGAATAGGGATAGCTCACGTGCTGATCGTCGTTATCACTGAACGGGACTATAGACGAGATCTTCTTGGAGCGACTGCGTTTCAATGGTTGGGACAGAGGTGGCCCGGATTGCGGGGCAGGACTCGCGAGGGAAGGGCCCGGCTTGGCTTCGGCAGCAGCGGACGGAGCAGCGGCGCGCTCGTCGTCCTCAACCTGGATGTGGCGGAACTCCTGTTCCTGCTCGTCGGCTTCGGATGATGGAGGGCTGTCGGAGTCAGAGGCTGCTTCATAATCATCTTCATCATCACTGACCAAGCTAGGGGCTTGGTTGGATTCGATGGCGTGAGGACTGAGAGTTTGATCCAGGCTGTCCGATTCCCGAGACTGCAGTGTTTGGGACTGGGCAGCGAGCGAAAAGTCCAAAAAGGACTGTGGGCGCGATGGGGTGGCTTGCTCAATAGGCGGGGTGTGTGCGTGGTCGAGGGCCTTTCGGCTCTCAGATTCTCCGGGAGTTTGACCAACAGGCATACGCATCGGCTGGCGACCGGCGCGAGCACCGAGGGAGGTATGGCCGAGTCCTGCAGACGGACCACGAGAGTCATCCGTTTCCGAGTCATCGTCGAAAAGACCACTAAGATCCACAGGCTTCCGGGATTCTTCTACTAACTTGTCCATGTCCAGACCAGCACCACGTGATTTCATGAGAGCGGACAGATGAGGAGTTGCAGGGGAAGCCAAAAACTGTGGGTTCGGAGCCTGTCGGATGGGTTCGGAGCGTCGTCGGTAAGTCGGTTCAGCAGTCGAGGGAGGAGTGGTAACAGCGGAGGTGGCAGCTGTAGCCGGTTTGCGAGGGGTGACAAAATCCTTAGCGGGCGTGTGAAGAGATTTCCAAGGGGTCGTAGCAACATGAGTAGAGCGGATCAGAGGATGCACATAGCCTGGGGTTGTTGGGTTAGCAGTGGGCTCAGCAGAGCCACCGACCACAATCCCGGCGTCGTCCACCTGAACAGATTGACCACAGGCCATGGCAGCGGCATCGTGGCTGGCGAAGTTGCGGTTGTGCGCGATGCGACAGTGGTTAATGAATCCCTGAGTGCTGGAGAAGTTATCGCGCCGGCAGTCCAGACAGACCAGCTTGACCAGGACACCATCCGACTTGCGCCGGATGAGCATCGGCCCGGACTTCTCCTTGACCACAGGGTAACCAGCCGACAGTGCGGTATGCTTAGTGGCAGTTGAGCCTCGCTGAGGACGAGACTTGCCCGCCAGCATGCCCATCTCACCGGGATTCCCACGCGTGGAGCGACCCTCAACCAGCGAATTTGCCAGCATCCCAGAGTCGACCTCGCCGCCATCAAAGCGAGGATCGGGCAACAACCACCGTGCGTAGTGACGGGCGTACGGGCCTTCCGTTACTCCCCAGGGAGCAGGTGAGATCGGGGCCGGACCATTTCCAGGTGCCAGCACTGACGCACCCGTCCCCAAGCTCACATCCGGCGAGACACCCGCAATACGGGATCCAGGATAAGGGATTTCGCCACAGCGTCGCAGCTGTTCCAGAGCGACTTGGCACTTGGCGATCTCCTGGTCGATGAGACGAAGTTCGTTGTGCTTGAGTAACACCTCCAAGCTCAGCTGGGCGGTGATAGTTTCCCGAAGTCGGGTCACACTAGGTCGGGTGACGACGGCGTCCTGCGCCGGCGGTCGCGCGGACGCGACCGGGGAGTTTGACGAGGTGATTGGAGTTGAAGGGGTGGGCGCGATCGAGTCAGCGATCACGGTCGGAGTTGGGCGCGAAGAAATGGAATCCGCGCAGACTTTCGTCGGGGCGGGCGCATCGGTCGCGTCGGAGTCGGAGTCTGAACGTTTGCGCTTGAGCTGGGGCAGCGACAGAGTGTTGATACTGCAGTTTGGAGCAAGCATTTTGACATCCTCCATCACCTTATTCCCTCCTATATTCGAGGGCCAGGGAAGCAGGCGAAACATGCCATGTGAGTGCATAGAGATGGATTTTGGATTAGGTGGCAGATGGTCCAAGCGTTCTTTTATTACGGAAAAGGAATGGACGTCGACTGCGCGACCGGAGGTTGATTACGGAAGGCAGCAAAAATCTATTAATAAGAGGGGAGGAGAGTACAAGAAAGAGAAAAAAAGGGAAATGGGGGGGAGAGAATAATGGGGAGAATAAGGGAGAATGGGGGAATAGGAAAAAGAAGAAAGGGGAAGAAAGGGGGATTGAGAAAGAACACAGAATAAGAGAGAACAATTGGGAAAATGGGGGGGGGAGTGCCTGGGAGTGAGAGAGTTGGCAGAGGGAAAAGGGAGTGGAGTTGAGGTGATACTTGTTGTTCCCATATTAATTGTATGGTGGAAGCATGTACCGTTCGATTATTGGATTATTGGATCAGTCTCAAATATCTGCGACACGTCATACATTTTGTATTTATTTGTTTATTTTATATGTTACCTATTATAATAGTATAATATAGAATATAGAATAAAAATTATACATTGTAGACTGTGTATATCTATTCACAATATCCTATTTACTTATATATGTACCTATTGATCTATTTCACTCTATCCCTATTCACCGGATGTATACGGCTGATACCCAACTCATTGCCAAGCCCATGGTCTGGGCCTTGCCCTGTTTCTGCCTAACGCCAGTTGTATCTACGATCTCCCAGATCCCCCAGCAAATCAGAACCCTATATCTATAATTGGCCGGGGGGGGGCAAACCGGTATAAACAAGTTCTAACTAAGCCTCAATTGCATGTGCGAAACAAAAGTACAAATCATATTTCATCTTGGCAATCCAAAGGACAGGTCAGATGTGGCTGAGAAAGCGAATGGAAAGTTATGGAACATTGTCGAAGAGCATAGGAGCGAACAAGGGGCGACTCTACTTCCCCGGGTTCTTAGGGAACTATACATCGGAGCCAGTCTATAAATTACCCCTAATTATAGCGTAAATTAATACGGAGTACGTACTCCATCCAGAATATACTCTAGCCATTTCAAGTTACATATGTCAACCCGTCAATTTGGAAACTCCGAGCTCGACAACTCTGCTAATCATAGTAACCTTAACTAGTATCTCTTCCCCATCTTTTTATTACCGATGTACACTTGCTCCGCTCATCCCTGATTATCATCACTATCATGACGATTGTGGGGTCTGCCCAGTGCTTTACGCGTAACCCAGTGCACAGAGTACCAAAATATACATCGTCTGTCTTAGAATAACAGCCAGGTATCGTGTTGTTGTTATTTTTTAACATATATCGCATTGGGTTCATAATGCCCACAGCCAAAGTATGGGCAATTGCACCTCCATCTCCAACATTTCCGAGACATCTCACCACAGAGTACAACATACGTATACTACTACTAGGAATATTCAAGTCTTCCACGTTTCCCACTCCTGCACTCTGCATTACGAGAATGCAAATTCGGACCCCGAACTCTAGCCTACCGCATTACTTAAACTACGTACAGATGGGACCGACCTACTCCATATAGTCTATTGACGTCCTACTGACTACATATAACGTATTTCACAAGCGAGCTGGACACCCCAAAACACCATAGTAAATACGATATATCCTTCATTTATATCTCAACAACCAAGAGCTCATTTTGTCTCCTTATTTGTAGATAGTCATTAATAAGCCTTATTAGCACTACATATCAATTTTAAAGGAAGTAGGAGGCAATATTATTATCATTTCAAAATTACCAAAAATTACGGTACTAAAAACTAGAAATATATATATCGCAACCAAGGAGTTATAAACTTTCTTTAAACTCCCCTAGGATGCTAGGTATTACCTAGAAATTAGGAAGCTATAAGGACAAGCCTCTATAGACCACCGTTGTTGAGATATTAAGTTGTAATTTATCGCATTTACTATGGTGTTTTGGGGTGTCCAGCTCGCTTGTGTGTCCAGTTCGCATGTGAAATACATATAACCCTTTTACATATGCATATACAACCCCCTTGAATGGACCGTTGCCCCGTCCTCAAATCTAACATTCCGATCAAAACAATATCCCCTGCTTCAGTTAATCTTATCGTCAGCTATCTTTCTCTTCGAGAACTGATAACCGCTCGCTCTAATGCACTATATCCTCCTGACACTCGCGCTACCCTCCAACACTAACAACTCCTTGGCGCCCTGCACCCTAAAATATGTATGTTGTACACAACACCCAACCAACCTAAAACAAATGTATATACCAACGCATCTTATCAAGTCATATAAAACCAGCTAAATGGCTCGAATAAGAACCAACATCCACAGAGTCCGGTGGTTGGCTTTTTGCGGGCGGGGGAGGAATAATGTGTCATGATGCGGTTTATCATTACTTCTAGTGCGCAAATACTGAGGTGACTACTTGTGCGGATGCGAGGGGCTCGAAGAGGGTTGGATGGGAAGGTTTCTTTGTTGGGGAGTGAGCTATGAACCTCGACAGGCTGGTGAAAATACAATGTACTTGCACTCTGAGGGGATTTGGCAGCAGTTTGCTTAGGACATTACGTTATGGACGGCAAAGTTTCTGATGCTGTTAGGCCTAAGCCATTGGAGTCTTGTTGAGCTTATCCAGGGATATGTTGATGGGCAGGTTGTGGGAAAAAAAAGCCGGTGAGACCGAGGGGGTGTATAGACAAATGTCACGATCAGATTCAATTCGAGTTCAATCGTTCATTCTTTTCTGCTTGTCAGACAAGCGCAATCCCCAAAAACGCCAACTGCAATATGATAAGAAAAGACAGAAGCTCGACTCGAGCATGTGAACGTGAAAGGCATTCTGGCCTCATAAGCATAAAGCAGACCAACATACGCCATGTGAATACATAAAACAGACACAGGTGTCGATATCAACAATGAATGAACGAGAATAGGCCAACGTAATCAATGGTATAGTATTCAGATGGCCGAACGGGAGAAAATCGAAACCCCCGATCCAAAAATCGCCATAAAAAAAAAACGGAAAAAGAAAACAATCGTATCCAGCCCAGAACCATCCTAGTTCATCTGCCCATCCCGAATCCGCAAGATGAAGTTAACAACGACAGCAGCGAGCAGGGCAATGGCGAGGATGGTAGGACCGAATCGATCATCGATACCACTCTGCCCGCGCCGACGGATACTCTGTGCGCGCCAGTGGAATGTCACTAGGGCATAGATCATTGCGCCCATGGCGATAACGGTGAAGAGGGCTGCGGAGATGCGACCAATGCGATCGCCGAAGTTGAGGAGTCCGACGGCGAGGCCGCCCAGGATGACGGTGAAGTTCAGCCATGAGAGGAAGGTGCGCTCGTTTGCGAAGAAGACTTTGGGCTCGACTCGGGTTGGGAGGGCGATTCGCTTGCCTGGTGGATGTTAGCTGGGTTTGAGGTGGAGATTGGAGGGTTGCGATGGAGGTTGCGATCGTCCTGCTTCTCTGAAGGCTTGGACGCCGATTAAGGTCGCAGTGACATCCACAGCTCAAGAGAAGCAAAATGGTCGCGCACCAACCAACGCCACGGTGAGGAGAGGGAGTGCAGGTGGAATTGTCTCTCGAGTGGAGCTGTTAAGCTGCTGAGAGTGGTGTTGTCGGACTTACCCGGAGCGGTTTGAAGCAGAGGTTGGCTGGACATTGTCGGAGATGAAGAGGTGAGGTTATTTGAAGAGGTCAGAAGAAAAGAAGTACCAGAAGAAAAATCCAAACTCAATTGACAGAGATTGGCGAAGAGAAAAGCAAATTAAAGAAGCGAGATCAAGAGTCACGACCTCGCCCCCCCAAATGTCTTGTTCCGTTTTGAGACTAGCGGGATACAGCTCTGTTGCACGTGCTCTCACGATTTGATGAGAGGATCAGGTGACTAAGTATACGCTAATAACGTGGGTCCTTATAAGTTTATCCTATTTAGTATCCTATGTGTACAACATATATTAACTATATATTATATATTATATTATTCATATAAAGCTTGATTACATCTCAATTAACAGAAAGTGGAAGTTCGACGGAAAATATACTCTTCATTGATACTTGCATACAATGTCGGACTCCGAAAAAAAGCCCGAGGATCCTGGGTAGGAAAAAAAAAAAAACTGAAATGTACTTAACAATTTCACCTCTCTCTTATGTCTCACTCCTATACGGAGTATGGAGTATGGAAAAGGTCAATGCGCCGAGAAACGGGGTACGGTTTTTCAAGCTTTAGACGTATGACTATTAGCCGACCAATTACTATTAGCACACCTGTATATCATCCGAATATCCTCCGATATAGTAAAATTGACAAGTAAAATGTACAACATACAACTCAACATTTCTCTTTGAATCCTTGCATCTCATGACATATCGTTTCCCGATATTGCGCTGGGAAAAATGGGTCGGAGTGAGGAATTCCGAGCCGATTCCCACTAGGCCGGGAATTCAAGGTCTAGAATAAGTAGGCCCACTTTTAGCCTTATATATGTGGACATCTGGGCTGTGGACTTGCGGATACTACCGCTTGTGGGCATATCTATCCAGACCAGTTTATACTGCGGGCTACACACAACAAGGTAGCGAATATAGTCGAAAAAATAGAGAAATTTAAGACCAATCGATCGTATAAACTCACAAGAATTTTTTGGGAGCCTGATAGCCTTATAGGTTCTTGTTGATACTGAAAGCTAACAAAGTACCTCATGTAGTAATTGCTATTTTGAATTCGGAGAGATAGATCTATGGAGACAGACTATCCTTCCGCATAGCTTCGACAATAGTGAGGCTGCGAGACATTTGTTATCTTTCTAGAGGTACAATCAAAGGACACTCCGACAAAAGTTCCTAGAAAATAAATGACCTACGTTCATCTTCATGGTACTTACTAGTCAGCGTATAATTCTACTATGTAGTATAGGCTTAATACCTGACCGAGCCTAAATGGACTCCTACAAAAGTTCTTCTACAAAAGTACTCCAATGATTCCATCCCAGAGTCCCCAATGTACCAAATCCCCAAACCCCGTTGTGTATGTAATAAGCCGCCCCCAATCCTGCAAGCCACTAGCTCCAACAGCGCTAAGCCCACTCCCCAAGCGCCAAAGACATCGACCGTTGATCTCCAACCATATCCGCACCTCCAAAATAAGCACGGAGCCCTCCACAACCTGGATACAGATAAATCATGTCCCAATTAACCTTATTACCAACCGAACTCCTCCTCTCAATCGCCGAATCCCTCCCCAACCAAAAAGACCTCAGCGCCTTCACCCAAACCACAAAGAGAACATACACAGTCCTCCAACCTTACCTATACAAAAACAACATCCAAAACCACGGCACTAGCGCCCTCCTCTGGGCCGCCAAGAATGGCCACACAGTCCTGACCCAAAAAATGCTCGATGCAGGCGCCAGAATAAGCGCCCGCACCTCCTCAAGTCTCAATCACACCAACCCCACCAGCGTCACCCGGATAGCGGGGAATGCCGTCTCCCTCGCAGCCAGCGGTCCACACATAGAAACCCTCACCTGTCTACTATCCGAGAAAAGACCGGGCCAAGCATGCGATCCCAACCAAATGCGCGAAGCACTAAACAAAGGTGCGATCCCGGCGCATAGTACCGAGGCGGTAAAGTTACTACTTCGGCACAAGGCTCCCCTCGAACCCGCAGACACCCTCCTGCCGAATCCATCCGCACTTGGCGCGGCTGTTGCTGCGAGATGGGCTGGTATTATACCTTTCTTATTAGAGGCTGGTGCTTGTCCCGGGAAGAATGAGATACCCACCCCGCTCGAGCGTGCGATTACCATGAACCAGCCGGATATCGTGGATATATTACTTGAGGCGGGGATCGGGCTTGTGGATGATGGGGGATTATGCATTATTGCAGAGCAGAATAACCAGAGGTTGTTGGAGGTATTTGTTGAAACGGGGCTTGAGGTTGGGATGTGTTGGCAGGGGGCTTTGTTTGCAGCTGTTATGCATGGACAGACTGAGATGGTGACTGGGTTAATTGAGAAGGGGGCGAACCCGAATTTGACTTATGATGTATTTATGTTGAGTTTTGAGTGTTTGCGATATAGTACTATTGGGTTTGCGGTTCAGTTTGGACAATTGGAAGTTTTGGAGCTGTTACTTGAGAAGGGGGTTCGTGCTGAACGGAGTGATCTTAACTTGGCGCAGGAGGAGAGATTTGAGGAGGCGGTGGCTCTTTTGTCTGAGTGTGATTTTGAGGATTTGCCACGGAAGGAGAATGTACGTGATTTTGTTGAGAAGAAGGTTCGAGAGAGACGGAGAACGGAGCCTGGGTATGAGGGTCTTAAGATGCAGGATTCGCTTTGTGATCCTGCCATGCGCCTAGAGTTGGAGGATGTGCGGGATAATAGCTATCCATGGGGGAATGATGGTACGCAAGGTTACACTATGTACGTTTCTTAATGTGTTGTTATTTTGGTTTTGGGGGGGACCACTCTGCCTTTTGTCGAGGGTTGACAGAATTAATTCCATTCAAGTATAAGATATGATCACTGCGTGGAACGAATCCTAAAATATACCTACATCATAATCCAGCCCTAGAATCCCAATCCTCACGAATCATATCCGACGCCTTCTCTGCAATAGCGTAAACACTACTAACAATATTACCAGAAACATTATTCGGGAACACCGACGCATCCACAACACGCAGTCCCTCAACACCCTTCACCCTCAACCTGCTATCCAACACATCGCCCATAGCAACAGACCCGCTGATATGGTACTCACCCGCAACAAGGTCATGCACTGCTTCTCGGGCCGTATCCATGTCCTGCAAGTTGAGACTGGGCTCCGGGTACGCGCGCCGCAAGAATGAAGACTTCACATGCTCTGATTCCGTGACTTTATCACTCCAGCGAAGGAATGCCGCCAGGAGGGAGATGTCAGCTGGGTGGCCGCCGTAGTTGGGGTTGATGATAGGGGGTTTGGTTGGATCTTGACTTATTAGCACACGAGTTGATTGAACATAGAAGGGATTTCTGTTTAGTTGTAAACTCACCTGCACTCCCAATGTGGATAGTCCCCCTAGACACGGGGTACTGAATACAAACTGCAAAGGTCAGACCAGCCGGTTGATCAGGCAAGCGTGGTTGGATTAAATTGCTCTGATGACCTATGGCATCCGGGTTCATGGAACCAGCAACAGCAACAAACTGCATATTAGCAGAGTGGTCGCTTTCGAGGTTTGCGATAGTTTGCGCGAGCTGTTTGGCGTGGAAGGCGCTGTTCGGTTTGATATCGCGGATACTCTGGATGATCTCTGCCAGCTCTGCCCCGGAGAGGATTTTCTTCGCCGGGAAGAAACCCTGCATGCTACTGACAGCACTCAGTAGCCCGCAGCTAGCCTCGACATACTGTTTGGTGGCGGCTTCCATTGCCTCGGGCACTTGTTGTAGAGTGTCTAGTGTGACGATGCCCGGCTGAACCTCCATTACAGAGAAGGTGAGGGCGTGGTCTAGGACGTTTGCACCGACACCTTTATTGGCGACCTTGCACTCGACGCCGGCGGCTTTGAGAACCTCTGGGTCGCCAATTCCTGATAGTTCGAGAATCTGGGGACTTTGGATTGTGCCGCCGCTGACGATTACTTCGCGCCGTGCGGACACTTGATACTCGACCCCGTCGTGTGTAAGGCTTACCCCGGTGGCTTTGTTGCCATCTAGTATGACGCGGTTGACGAGGGCTTCGCAGAGGACTTTAAGATTTGGGCGAGTGGCGCGGTTCTCTTCATAGTATGCTCGTGCGGAGTAGCTGCGCTTGCCCTTATTCGGGCCGCTTCGAGCAACTGCTCCAAGGGTGTGGTAGAAGCCGATGTGGTCACCGCTCCATGGGTCGGTGGGCTTGTTTGGGATCCCGGTTACTTGCTCACAGGCTCTGATGATGTCGTTCTCCACTGGAATGATTGAATGATTGAAGCTGGTGCGGATGGGCCCGCTCGTGCCGTGGAACTCGCCTACCAGTGGCATTGTGGAGCGATCGGTGATGGCTGGGTCAATTGGCTCTAGGGTCTGTTTATTCTATTAGTTGGGTTTCGACTGTAAATGAACCAGATTGGAAAATGGAAAGATGATATCGTACCTGATGCTTTCGCATATATCCCTGCATATGCTTCCCAGACCACCCATCGTCCTCTACCAGCTCCGCCCAGTTGTCGTAATCCTGCGTCGACCCTCGCACATACATCATATAATTGATACCGCTGGATCCACCGAGGAGCTTCCCCCGCGGAACATGGTGAGATAAGCCACGGTTGCCTTCCTATAACCCCAGGAAAGCAGTTAGCGAATCGAAGGTAGATAGATGCAATATAGAATAAACCTACCTGCGGTGTCGTATACACACACCAATCATAGTCGGGATTCTCGAACATCTGCGGGAACGCCGCAGGAGTATCAACCAGCGGATCTCCAATGCGATACTTGCCGGCCTCAATAACGCCGACGGTTACAGCAGGATTTTCGCTGAGGCGTGCTGCGAGAACGAGTCCTGCAGTTCCGCCGCCGCAGATAACATAGTCGAATGTGGTGCGGGTGAATTCATCGACTGTGCAGGTTGGATTTTCAGCCATTGTATGATAGTTTAGATAGTTTAGATTGAAAGAGTTGAGATGGGGAGATCTACGGGTTAAATAGCACGAGAGGGGTAATGCATACACATACATACGTAGGTACTACCAACCGTGGAAGCTCAGGTTGGAGGAGCTGTTGGGGTTAGGTTCTATACTAAGAGAGTCTAAAACATACTAAAAGGTGCTAAAACACACTAAAACATACTAAAAGAGAATATAAGGCGTCCATCTAGTGATAATTAGTGAGGCTTAGGCACGGACGGAGAAAAGGATTGCGGGGAAGAGCCCTATATTGCACCTATATTCGATAACTACTCAAACTATGATATACTATTTTTGCTGACAGAACTGGCCAAGTTTTCACCGCAATTTACACAGCCGAGAAAATAGAGACTGGCTGTTAGCCGCATGCCGCAGCTGCACGAAGATGCCCGCTATTTCCCGCTAGAGCCCCTTTCGTTTCACCGTGCATATCGTGTCGGATTAGCGGCAACCGTATGGCCTGAAATAATGTAGATCGCCCCCGGTAAATGTTTCAACTTTCCGAATTGCGTTTTGATCCCGTCAAAGCAGAATATGTCGCTGGCCTAGCGAGATACTTCTTTCTATGCATGTGACAAGTCGCCGCCAAAACTGCCCTGTATACTGTAAAGGCCCTTCCAAGGTCAGCACTAAGGGCTACTGCTGATGAGGGTGTGGAGTCTTCGACCGTGCCGTGCCATTTCTGCCTAGTTGGTTGAGCAAGTTACTCTGCAATCTGAGGCCCCGTCTTCTTGTAATTCATTAGCCGCACGGTTTAGTTGTGTAGTCGGTATAGAGATCCGGGTGCTATGAGACCATATTGTTCATCTGGACAAGATTGGCCCTTGACAACCTTGGAAGGAGGTCCGCTGTTGACGTCCATGTTCGTTGGCGGCAATCCTCAGTCCCGACTAGTCGAGCAGAAAGTAATCGTGTAATCGTGTGAATCGCTTCAAGAATGCTATATGTACAATGTATTAGTCCCAGGTGGCCTGGCCGACCCGACCAAGCGTTATGCAGGCGACGGTGTTGATTTCAAGATGACCCAGTCACCATTCCAACGATCAAAGCCCCATCTTCCGCTGCACCCAACCAAGCGCACCCTCCCACCTCGGATCCCCAGACCTCAAAGCGTTAAACAGCTCTGAAACCAGCGCTCGACCCGAATCCCGCGCCCACCACCGATGCCCATCAAGCTCCTTCAATAACACCCCCCAATACATGAGAATCAGCAACGAAAACGGTTGCCGACACCGGAGACTATCGACAAAATCCTTGTCAACAGCCGCAAGCCAAGCAAGAACCGGCGCCGGATCTGCCGAGTGCGCAAACTTAGCATAACAATGCCTCAAATGCGCAATAACATTTTTATTAATGCGATGCTGCTCCGAGTAAATCCCAATCATTACTTGATCATTCAAGGCCGCCAGATGCGTCAGCGCAGCCTCCGTATCGGGATCAAGTTCGGTAGGCGTGCTCTTCCAATACGGACCCTGCGAGAATAATTCCAGCTTAATCCACGGCTTGCTGACTTGCAGAATCTTCTTCACGCCCTGTAGTAGCTCGAACAGTATCACGATGTTCTCCGTGATGCTGGCGCACTCGTCTTTCGTGGCGGTTAGTCGGGGTGACGCGACGCTGATCGCGATCATGACGATCGAGTGCGCGAATACCGCGTTGCAGTTATGCGGCGTGATACTATCGATCGCGTTTCGGAATGGCGCCAGGCTGTGGTTGTAGTACTGCAGTCCTGTCTCATGGTATAGGAGTGCTGTTTCTGATGACTCGCATGTTGTTGCGATGTGCATTGAGGCTAGCGCCAAGATCCCGCCCATCAGGTAATCATGTTTGAAGGCAAGTGTTGGGACGGTTATTTGCCAGATTGCTATTTCTGAGTCGCTGAGACAGAGACTTTTATATGTGTCTGTTGAGAACTTATGCATTAATTCTAGGTTGTCGATGCCGAATGAGTTTGTTTTGGTTGGTGCAACTGGATCGGTTGGACGGGGTATCGCTGCTACGGGCGAGCCGTGGCTATCTAGAGAACGCGGTACGTCGGATGTTGAACTGGGTGGGGTAAGATTTGTTGTAGCGCGACGGGCGGCGGCGACTTTCAAATATGTGCATTTTAACTCGCGGGTCGCGCAGTTCGAGCATGGTGGACCCTGCTCGTCACATTTAACCCGCCTGCTTCTGCATTGATCGCATCCGTTGCGGGATTTGGTATGCGCGCGGAGAGGGGGCATGTTCAAAGTTAGTTGACATCTCGCGAAGGCCAATCATGAAGATGGCTGTGATAAATGTGAGGAAGAATTTATCCGAGACATTGACATATTTCCCCCGTATCATGTGACTAGGTCTAGAACAATTTTAATACAAGCAACATCAGCCCTGCGAAAAAGGGAGCGTGGAAACACCCAGCAAAAAGTTCAAGACAAAAGGTAATCTAATTTACCTCAACAATAGCAGGACCAGCAACAATATTGTCATCAGTCGCCTGCTTGTTTCCCTGAGCCAGGACGACGTAGCTCTGACCGGCAACGCCCTCGGGAACAGTAACGGTGAACTTTCCATCACCCATAGACTTAAGAGGAGCCCAGACCGGACCAGTAATGGTAATGAAAGCAGCGTTGACATCGCTAGTGCTTGCGTTGAAGCCGCTACCAGCAATCAACTGCATTTGCGAGCCTGTCATGACGGTGTCCATCGGGCTCATTGTGAGCGCAGGAAAGGCCGTTACGGGCAGCGCGCCGTTGCTGGAAGGACACGAGGCAATGAAGGGGGAAGCGACAGTGTACACCTCATTGAGGCTGAGAGGGTTATCGAAGGCCTGGGCGAAGGAGACTTCACCGACCGCGGCGCGCAGGTATGCACTGTGTCGAGCCTCTGTGGTGAGGATGCTGCCGGCGGCTGTCAGGTAGGTGCCGCTCATGATGGAGGCTGCGGCTCCGAGGTAGGCGCTGACTCCGACACCTGGAGAGGGTATTAGTGGTTATTATTGGTATAATTGGATGTATTTTACCCCCAAGAACGCTGGCAAGGGCCAGGAAGCTGCTGACATCAGTGGATGGGAAGATGTACGTGCAGCGGGCAACGGGAGAAGCACCAGCAGCTGGAAAATGTTAAAATAGTGTGCATTATCTCTGGGGTTGAATGATAGGGGCATACCCATGAGAGCAGATGTCAAGAAATCCACGTGCTCCTTCTCATCAGAAGCAACCTCCTTCAGGTTGGCATAAAATGGGTCCTTCATACCAGCCTTGACAAAGTCCTCCTGAGTGTAGTTTTTGAGACCCTCCTCGTAGAAAGAGGCCTCAAGATGCTCAAGGGTGAGAGCATAGTTGAGAATATCGGCTAAAGAAGAAAGACATTAGAGAATAAACAATATATTGGTGGCGAAGTTACGTACCATCGCTGATAGCACGCTTCGAGACAGGGCCGGCGTTGGCAAGACCGATGGCGGCGCCGGTGAGGGCAAGATTAGTGAACTTCATTATGCAGAATAGTAGAGCTTTTATTAACTCTTCAATTGGAAGAATGGCTTTGAATGAAGGATAGTCAATCTACTTTCCAAGTGGAGGGACATGTCTTTTATAGCCGCCTCACCGGCAACTTGGGGATCCGATACCTAAATCCTTGTTTTGAGCTTGAGCATTAGAATTGCCTGACTAGGCAGAAACAAGTCATTCTTTTCCTTGTTTTGTAAGTTTTTTTTATCTGATATGGTGGACATCTGAGGTGCAAGACTGAGCTCAGCGGTAGGGGTTCCGGATCGAGAGGTCAAGGGTTGATATAAGACTCGGATGGATGTCATCAATAGCTCCGACAGGGACGCCAGGCCCCACCATATATTACATGCAGGGACCATTGTGGATCTAGTCGGGGTAGCTAGAGAACTGTCTCTAGGCCCACCATGCCTAAAGGCCATTGTCATAGCTTGTGCATGGTGGAGAAGTTCATTGGGTTCTCGGGCATTAAGCTGCAGAAACTGATGGCTGAGTCTGGGTGGAAAACGAGAGCGAGAGCGAGATCGCGAGAGAGACAAAAGGCAGACGAGAAGACAAGACGAGAGCGAAAACGGGACCGAGACCGACGCGGAGACCGACGCGGGGGCCCAACTTGAGAAACTATACTTCTTACTTCTCTAACCACAAGTCTTTGAAAACCTGTTATTCCGCCAAATCTTAGATACTTTATTTTCAATGTTTTGTTGAGCATGTTCCGTCTTCGGTATGATTTGGTGAATAAACTTAAGTGATTTGACAGCAGGTAGAATATCATTTGACCTTGCAACTTCCTCCCTCCCTATTCAGATCTGTTCTTTGATGAGATGGAACTTGTATAGATGGAACCTTCAGCCAATTGATGGTATGGCTAGCTATTTTTCTTAACCCCTCAAAAATGTCATAGAAAAAAGGAATAAAGCTCAGAAATTGTTTCCTATTTCCAGTTGCAGAAGAATATCCATTGCAACGATTGTCATATCCTCTCAGTCCTTCCATCACCAACCAGACTAAAGGTAGTAGTAAACTCAAATGCCCCAGCCTCAAGTCTATGACCCTCAAATGCACCAGGCCCACAGCTCGCTGTTCCAATACCATGATGCGCATAGTCAATATTAAGCTCAGTTTCATCCAACTCCGAAAGCTCATGTGGATGTTTGGCCCTGTCAAGTTCCGCTGTCGCATACTTGCGAAGGGAGAAGCTAAACGGCGTATTCATAGACGCCCTGATCTCGGGAATAGGTGCAATTGCCCCAGCAGAGGCAGCATAAGACGTATCAGGAGGTGAGGAGTGAACATTTACCCAACGTGTATCGATGCGATTACCGTTCTCCTGGGGCCACTCATACGGCGTCTGCAGGCCATTTTCAATCGAGGCTGTGTACTTTCCAAAGCGCGCAGCAGCCTTCGTATCACGGTATGATTCTCCAGGGCCTCTGCCAAACCACGTGGCAGCATCATATTGTCGCGGGAGACGGAGTGTGAGGCCGATTCTTGGGATGTATTTTGGGTGCGTCCCTGTGAAATCACCCTTGACATGCAGACTTACGGATGTATCCGTGATGGTGTACGTGAGGATAGCCTCGAATGCCCATTCCAGCACGGTGGGTGCAACACGGACTTTGGTGGTGATTAGTACGCTTCCGTTATCGTCATTTGCACGCCATTTAGCTGATTCGACGAGCATTCGACTGCTTTTCACGCGGAAGCGGTTCCACTCGGCACTAGGTCCCGCTGATCCGACGTCGTTTTGTGTCAAGGCGCGGTATATCCCTAACTGTGGTCCGCTGTTGAAGATTTTGCCTCCGTCAGTGGACCACGATAGATCGCCTCTGATCAAGTCGTAGGTGAAGTGAGAAGCGAAGCCGTTGGAGTTGATGTATAGCCGGCCCGGTCCCTCCTGAACAAACATTGCCGATCGTGGTGACGTTATGCTTACAGGGATTGGGAGTTTCCGGTCCTCGAACAAGGCGATTTGTGCCCAAGCAACCTCATGTCCTTCTGGTGCCCAGGATGTGGCCGCTTTGAGTCGGAAGTTGATGGTAAGCCAGCTTGGATCGGAACTAAAAGCCACACCATTGGGCAGATCTAGGATCCTAGATTCTCCGGGTTTAATTTGGGGTATCTGCCATGGTACTGGCTCAGTGTTTCCTGTCTCCGTAACAATGTGCCATGAGATGGACAAGTGGTCGAGGTTATTGAAGTCATAGTGGTTTACTACCTCGAGAGAGCTTCCCTTGAGTGTTACCGTGACTGGTTCAATTGCCTTTTTGTATTCCGTTAGCCCCGGGCTGGGGGTGTGATTCGAAAACACCATTCCGTCAAGGATAAAGTCGGCATCATTGGGCTCGTCGCCAAAGTCGCCGCCGTATGCGTAATATGAAGTGTCACCATCTCTTTTGATGAGGCCATGGTTACACCATTCCCAGATGAAGCCCCCTTGGAGCAGCTTCTCGGTGCGGTAGGCCACGATGTATTCTTTCAATCCACCGGGTCCGTTGCCCACTATTTTGATAACACAGGTTAGAAGACATGATAGGTGTAACATCAAACACAAGCAGAGATTTCAAACTCACTGGCATGCGCGTATTCGCATTGTATGAGAGGTTTATCTGGCTTCTCCTTGATATGCCTTTTGAGGTCGTCGATGCTCCAGTACATGGTGGAATACAAATCAGCGCTGAGGGCCTCCCGATCACCCTCGTAGTGAACAAGACGGGTTGGGTCAGCCTCTTTAATCCACTTGTACATACTCGCATGGTTCTGGCCGTAGAACGCCTCGTTACCAAGCGACCACATGATGATACAAGGGAAGTTCTTGAAGCGCTGAACAAGCTCAACAGCACGATCAAGATAAACATCCTTCCATTCTGGATTGTCAGAAGTCCATTTGGTAGCCATCTTGTAGGAGGTCTCCTGAATTTCGTATTCAGTCATAAGGTGCTGGTTCGGAATGTTAGAGCGTTCCACAGGGTCAAACCCGTGAGTCTCGAGATCAGCCTCGGCCATGACATAAAAGCCAAATTCATCACAAACTTCGTACAGTCTGGGGTCATTGGGTTGATGACAGCAACGCAAGGCATTGATATTATGCTTCTTCATGAGAATGAGGTCTGCACGCATATTTTCGTACGGTACGGAGCGGCCGTGGAGGTGATGATGCTCGTGGCGGTTCATGCCGTATAAAATGATGGGCTTGCCGTTGACTAAGAAGTTTGCTCCTTTTTGCTCGATACGCCGAAATCCAACCCGCTGAGTAATTGTACGGCCATTGAATGATAGGGTCAATATATATAGAACAGGATCCTCGGCAGACCACAACTTCAAATCATCAGCAGATACATCGATACGACCGGAGTCTTTAGAAGAGAATATCAATTCCTTGAGCAATATGCCATCCGGTCGATATAACCTGGCCTGAACATCGCCATCTTCTCCCTGTATTTTGACATCTGTGAGCAGTTGGCCTGTAGATAGATCTTCGCTAAGCGTTGGTACGGCGTTGAAGTCGACCACTGAATTTAGCGGAAAGGCTAACAAACCAACATCTCGGAATATACCGCTGAGAAGCCACTGATCCTGCCGCTCGATATACGATCCATCACAAAACTCGTACACTCGCACCGCAATGGTGTTCACAGATCCGGCTGGTTTGAGCAGAGATGTAATGTCAAACTCGCTAGGATTACGTGAACCTTGCGAGTACCCAACCTCTTCTTTGTTGACCCAGAGATGAAAAGCACTATCAACGCCTTCAAAGCGGAGGCGAATCTGTTGTCCTTCATATCTGGAAGGAGTTATAAATTGTCTCCAGTAAGATCCAGTCTCATTTAGGAGTGGCACTTGAGGGGGATTCACGTGGAATGGATAGTTGACGTTGGTGTAGGTCGGATGGGAATAACCCTGGAGCTGCCACATGCCTGGGACTTGAATGTCGTCCCAGCTCAAGGGATCTGCAACGGTCCAATCAGGTGCCTCGAAAGGAGATGCATCGTGTCGAAATTTCCACGTGCCGTTCAGGGAAATATACTCGCTTTTGTCGCGGTTGAAAGTGAGGGCCAGTTCCTCTGAAGCGTAGCTGTAGAAGTGCGCCCGCGGTGGAAGAGTGTTCTTGTGGATTACTTTGAGGTTGTTCCAATCTGGTATAGCTTTAGGGAAAGACATGCTCTGATGGTTTATCTTAAAAGAAATACGACTGCTTAAAACACCGCCGGGAGATGTTGAGAGGGGTGATCAGATAAACCCCGAGCAATGCGGGGCTAGTATTTTGGCAAGCCACTGCAGTAGTACCAACACCGGGTAAATATGAGGTACATTTTGCCGAAATTATGTGCCAAGGGATGACCCTGCTGGTGGGTTGGTAAGGATCTAATAGGCCGGATAGATACGGGAGTCGATTAATTATGAGGTAGTAACCTTTGCAGTAGTACAGTGTGGTGCGGAATAAGGCTCGGCGAGAATACCGAGGTACATGGATGATTGTGTTTACAGATATTCAAAGCACGTTTAAATAATTCGAGTGAAATGTACTCGAACTTAAACGAACCCTTGGGGACGCCAGACAACCAAAAAGCACCACACAAGACATGTTGTAGGAACGATTGTTTACAACGGAGGTGCCATAGACGACTCGCTCCTTTTCCATACCCTCAGTAATGACATTAACATTAACACAAAGCAAATTTTTGAGTCCACTAAAAGCCTATTTTGACAAGTGGCAGTTGCGTAAGGACAAACGTGAAGATACCGGTTCCATCTAGGGTGTCTGAGGATACGAGGTCTCATAACTGAGTCCTATGCTATACATACAGGCTTATGGGTTAAGACACGCCATCAGTAAGTATAATACGAAAAAATATTCAATATTATTATATATCGCACTCGACATCACACAAAGTTATTCAGAGATGTTGATTTGAGAAAATTACCTCCTATAACTTCTCCGGCACTATCTCCTCACTCTTAGCAATTGCTTGCAATTTTGCTGTCTCGCCAATTTTCTCCTCGGCTTTAGACGCAGCAGTTCCAATCAACTTGTTTCCGTACTCCTTTCCATCCAAAATGACGGCTGTTTCTTCCAGACTGAGACTGCCAGTCTCCACAAAGAGGAAGTAAACTACCACAAGCTCAAATGCCAGCCATACATTGTAGGTAATGTAAAATTTCCACTTGCTGTTCGTCACACCGATTGGATTCACGTACTGGTTGAAGATACCAGCAAGTGCCACGAAGAGGTTATACAAAACGAGACCTCGAGCACGCAAGTCGAAGGGTAAGATTTCAATGCAGTACGTAGCTTGCAGAGGCGTCCAGCCAACGGAGTAAAAGAAATTATACAGAAATATCATGGCCAGAACGCCCTTTGCGTAGCGTTCGTCACCTCTAGTTCCATCCAGCGCCGCCCCTCTCTCATACACAGCTTCGAGCGCTGTCCACACAATATAGACGGCCAGGATGCCCGCGGTGGAGATAAGAAAGAGAGTGCGCCGACCAAATCGATTCATCACAGCAGCGAATACCAAGCTCCAAATCATTGACCACAGAGTGAGTAGTGCATTGATAAGGGTTTGGGTGCTCTCCGATTTGTAGCCAATCGAGTCGAGAATCAGTGTGAGGTAATATGAGATCAGACCATTACCGCTCCATTGTGAGAAGAAACCCACAGAAAGAATAATGAAGAATCGTCTAATGTTACCTTTGCTTTGGAAAAAGGTCATGTACGAGGTGGTGCGTCTCGCCTCCATCTCGAGTTGAAGAGCAACGCGGATCTCCTCCATCTCTAGTGTAACTAGAGGATCGGAATCGTCCCCATTAGAATGATACTTACAAATGAGTTTTCTTGCCTCATCATCCCGCTCTTTGCTAATAAGCCATCGGGGTGACTCTTCAATTAAGAAGCAAAGTTCGATTTGTAACACACTGGAGAGGCCTTGGAGGAGCGAAGGAAGTCTCCATGCCCATGTGCTATTGATGCGAAACGTGCCATAGGTGACCCACGCGGCAACCAAAGCACCCAGGTTCCACAGGCTGTTGTATATGGCCACCTGTGGCCCCTGTTGTCTAGGAAAGGCCAATTCCAGGAGGAGGAGCGGTGCTGCAGTAATGTTTAGCACGAGGCCCATGCCAATGATTCCTCGGGCAGCAATGAACATTCCGACGTTCTGTGCCGCGGCTTGTAGTGCAACTCCGACTAAAAGAACGAAGGCGCCAACAAAGAGAACCGGACGACGGCCAAATTTGTCACAACTGATCGCGCAAACAGGCATTGTGATCAGCTGGCCAACATTTTGTATAGCATTTAAACTGTGTAAAATTATGTCAGTTCTCATACTCTGTGCAGCAACAGGTGATTAACAGTCAGACTGCTGAAGCATATCTAGCTTGATTGATCACGTACAGACCCAACTAAGAAGCCCCGGGGTAATTGAAAGAGTTTTGCCAGGTGGTGAGGGACTGCAGCCCATTCATCATCGACCCATCGTAACCTGTTGCGTAACTCGAGATTTGTAACAACACCAGCATTGAATTGAGCTTGATAATTCCGGAGTTCGAGAGCCATGATAGGCCAGCGCCCCTGCTCCCCAACGCACCGACCGTAAATGGCGACTCTGTTGTTGGCTGAAATAAAGAGGCAGGAAATATTGAACTGCCTAAACGTGAAGTTGTTGATATGGTAGCGCAAAGGGCGCGATTTCGTTGAGTATGGATAGTATAAATAATTAAATGAAAATACGAAATTGTTAATTAAACGTGTCATGAAAATGAAATGTGTCTAAGGTCGTGTTTGAGCGACCTTAGACACAGTTGCCTTCCGTAATGAAGACTGAAAAAACTGCTGAACGTATACTGCTGTTGAATCTTCGTCGAAGATGTCCTTCACTGTAGCAAAAGCGCCAAGCATATCATTCTGTGACTTCACAGGATACACTTCCGAAGAGATCAACTTATGAACCAAAGTTGATACAGATGGAGACCACGACACCAACTCTTCCAGAGGGACACTAAGAGGATAACCTCTGAGCAATACTCCAATCGTATACACTCCAACATGGCCGTGTGCACGCGACTCGCGTGCATAACATACAATAACGGTTAAATCTTCAACCTCAACTTCGTCTGACTTCAAAAAGTCACGAACAACAAGTTCGACTTCACACGCAAGGCGTGATTCAGTACCCGCGTTACGCGAATGACATTCCCCAGCATAACTCTGTCGCCAAAAGAGAGAGGTCCACGACCTCGACCCTGGGAGGTTGATGCAAAAGACATTTTGCAAATAATGTCGAATACCAAGTCCGAATACATGGTATGCCTGGTACCCAATGTCACATGATGTTTCCGGTATATTACCTGGTTTCTACCATGTATTCGGACTTGGTATTCGACATTTATTGCTACCACTACCTGTATGTATATCATACCTTAGGTACCTCTAATTATTATGTAAATTGCTAGTAAAAATAAGTCACTCCTGTTCCACTGTAGTACCTAATAAGGAATTCAAAATAATTGTTGTTTACACCTCCAAACCTCCCATTTTACTACCCATTTTTCTTGCGTTTTTCACCTATTTCTCCCGCATTTCAATCTCCTTTACGGTAGGGAACCAATAGTATAATTATAAGCCCTCCCCTTAACTACTTATGCACCTCACCGGAAGTAGGAGCTATCTACGAAGGCGCCGAATATTGAGCAGCAGCTTAAGTAGGGCCTTTCTACCCGTTATATTCTCACCGGTATTCGAAAGGACAATTAGGATTCCTACCTTATAGCCCGGGATATCTATAACTTTCGGAGGAAGTTTTATATAGAATTCCTTGCTAGTCGTACGCCGCTTCAAGCTCTCTTAATAGAGTTTCCGCGCGATAGCGAATAGATCTTTAAGCATGAGGTAGATAATAAGAATCAACCTTACTACCTTATTTTTTTATGCATAAATCGAGTATTGCGATGCTTAGGACTAATTCATGGGTCATTTCAATGGATTGTACATACAAAACTAATAGATACGGCCTTCCATTGCTTATACCACCGGATACCTTCATCTTAATGAAATCTCGACATCTCGGACCGAAGGAGCTAGCTCACTAGCTGCTTAAGCAGGACCTTCAAGTCTTAACTAATAATCTACTGGTTGTTCTCTACACTAGAATGCCTACATCATAGAGCGATTGCGAGAGTGAGAGTTGCTTTCCCTCGAGGTTAACATGTCATTGGTAGCTTGGCACAGGAAGATCTGATCCGCTCCTTCTACATGTAGGACCCGTCGCAAATTTGCGAATAATTTCCTGTCAGTACTTACGATTCATAGTCCACCCAAGCTCTCGTAGAATGTCCACTACAGCGATAAGAAACGGTCGTTACTTTCTGTGGACGTATTCCTAAGCCATGCGATACGGCATGCTTCGCTGCTAATATAGCACGGTTGAAGTCCTATCGCGGTTCAACATAAGCTATCTGAAACCAGACCTAACAAAGGTATCTCTCTACGATCGCCATTCAGGACCGGATGATATTCGCACAGGGGTGCTCTAATCCACGTGTGATCCTAGCAGGCATACGCTGAAACTCCTCCCCAAACAAAGATGACATAACGCCTATTGGGGTAGATAATTCAGTATAGACCGTACGGGAGAGTCCAAGAGGTCCTACAGCCCGCAGTCTCTTGTGGTGCTATTACAATCATCGTACCCACCTTCTGTGAATTGGACGAACAGAACAGTGATATACTAGAGATCGTCCGGACACGATGAGTTTGCGGAAACATCATCGATGCTCAAAGGACAGGGGGCTCGCGAGGTAGAGAAGTCGGTGATTTACTAGCAAGACCTACTTACGCCGCCAATTGCGATATGTTAGAAGACGGTCTCAATGGACAAAGGATACCGGATAGCTTGACTGACCTCTAGCTACAGTGACATTCAACGTATATAGGCTTCGGACATAGTGCTCAAGCTTAGATAGAAGAACACAGGCTTCGGAATCAAATCAAACAACCTTCGGTCCAACAGGGACGAGACAAACACTTTTGATAGCATGCAGCTCCGTGTATGTCCGAATAAACTTGTTCCCGCTCGCTCGCACATGTCGACAAGCTCAGCAACGCGGAGAGGAAGAGGGATCAGGGGGACCCAATCAGATGTGGTGCTTGGGCCATAGGGCTTCTCTTTGATTCGGCCGTCCTCAGTTTTGTCCACACTTTTTATTGTTGCTTACTCAGCGCTATTGACCAATCCCAATGCAGTGTTCCACCTCGCCGTCGCCGTTTCTCCCTCCTATGCCCATCTCTTCAGTCCGTTCTTCGATCACCCTTTCCGAGAATATACTCTATCCAAAAGGAAGAAATACTACCATTCCATTTGATGAGTTTTTTTAACCCATTAGATGAAAATATTGATACTGCAGAGGCAGAATTGGATGAGATTATCACCAATCTTGCTGAGGATATTGAGGATGCTTTAGCAGATCCTGATGAAGAATATATATTTGGGCCAAGGCCAGAGATACCAACGGATGCGGTAACTCTGCGACGTATATCAGAACTATCACCGTGGGCTGCACACAGAGAGGGGTGCACAGACGAGGATATGGCGTCAATTGTGGCTTTAACAAAGGCATTCGAGAAGCTTGAGGTGATTGGGAAGAAACAGAAACATTGTTGGAGATAGAGTTTAAACTAAAATAGGAAAAGCTTCATGTTTATTTTACATAATCGCACTATCATCATCTCACAAACTGCACACATCAGGTGTGTGCAAGGAGAAAGCTCTGCCTGGGAGGTTGTGCAGCTCGCGGGAGTTAACTGTACTTGGCCCGTCTCACAGAGGCGTATGCCCGGACAGACTTCTGCATCGCACATCTTGCTGTATTCGCATGCCTTTGTCATCAGAGTTGATTTACGACAGCACTGTTTCTGGAGCCTTGCTTTCTTGGTCGGAACAAATCGACTCGGTCGGGTGTGTGGTGCAGCAGCCATTTCTAAGTAGCCACTTCCACAGATAAAGAGATGCCTGAAGCGTTACTCTTAGATAAGTGAAGGAGAGGGGAAATAAAACAAGGGAGCTAAATAGCTAAGAAGTCTCGATTTTGCTGCGGATTAGCAGTTTTTTTATATGTGCACAAAGTCACGGTTTCGCAAACCACAGGAGCTGGATAGATATCTTTGATTACTCGTGAGTTCTCTGACCATCGTTTCTAGGGTTAGTTGATAATCGGCGAAATTAGCAATGGTCTCAACATGCGACCCAATCCGTTTGAGTGCCGGATCACTCCTCGTAGTATTGAGCGTGCGACGATTGAGTGAGAGAGCTTGCAGGCGCTACGGGATCTATCGCAATACAATGGGGAGGCTAAAGTACCGAATGAGTATATTTTACGTAACGGATAAACAAAAATAAAGTAAATGCATTATTGGATGAGGGAGACTGGGTAAAGACGTGTGAACGTCTTTACGTCCATGGCAATGGCGCTTGGATATTACTAGACTTTTCATACTTCACGGCATATTGTTTTGTCCTTGCCAGTTACCTATCATCCACAGTCTGTTCTAAGTCACAAGCTCTGGTACTGTGCGATACTAATTCCTAAGCATGGCCACTGTCACTGCGGAACTCTGCTCTTCTTGCTCCATAGAACGAAAGACTTCGGCGACGCGATGGAAAGACTCCTTCGGTACCCATGGAGGCATAGTCTTAGATCTTGAGTCCTTGTCAGAAAAGGTCTTTACCAGCGAGAAACACATCATGTCCAGATCCCTCGCCCCTTCTCCTGCCGGCATGCAAGGGAACGAAAACAGATATATGAAAGCCGCATCAACCCCTGCATTGTTGAGAAGCTTAAGCTGCGTCCCGACATAATCGGCCTGTTCCTTCTCGCTCCGAGTCGGGACAATATCGTTCTCGAAGATGCCAGTGCCGTCTGGATTCATGCCTTTCAAGATTACGAAGCCGCCGTCTCCGCGCTCTGCTGCTCCATCGTAGGCGCAGCAACCGACTTCTAAAACAGCGAGAGGCTTTCCAATCCTGTACATATCGAGGCACGAGACATACTTCTCCGCTGTCTCTCCTCGGCGATAATAGTCTATGCCGACGACATCAAAAATATCCCAGTCCACGACTTCCCAGGAGCCAGCCGAATATGTGATCTGTCCTCCGAACTGGGAACGAATCACCCCAACGAAAGACCGCAACACCTTGTTCAACTCGACAGACTTGTCACGCAGAGCCCGAGGGATATCCTCGATCATGTGGCCGTTAGGAAACTGCGGACCGAGAAACATTACGCGGTCCTTGAAAGAATCTCCGGGGAAAACACCTTTGCTGAAGATGGTGTATTCGCAGCCGGCGATAAAGACCAAATCAATGCCTTCATTGCGTAATGTTTCTGCAGATTTTGCCGCCTCTTCGAAATATGCGAGGGTCTCGACGATGGTAGCATTCATCTTCCACGGATTGAAAAACACCTTGAGTCCCATCGAGTGCGCTGATCGTGCGGCAATCTCCAGCCGAGGTATCTCCTCTCCTTCAATCCGGACGGCATTGGCATGCAAATCGTGGGCGATTGTTTTCATGTCGTATTTGGCTAGACCGGGATCGAACGGCTCGACGGAGAATCCAGTGCCATTGAAGTTGAGGCCGACATCGTAGACAACGCCGCGATACTTCATGGTGGAGTGTTTGTTGGAAAGGACTGATAAGCGCAAATGTCTACAGGCTCACAGGGTATGCAAGGATAACAATCGTGTCCAAACGAGCATGAGGCAAGAAATAAGAAACGAAAGGCACGTAATAGTCAAGTATATAAGGCCCTCGAGGGTGTCTCCACTGTTCGGACTACGCACTCTTGGCGCCCCGAGTGTCCGGCCATGGCTCGAAATTTCACCGAACCTGTAAATCTGTCCTTTCGGCAACCTCGTCGGGGAGGACCTCCAAAGAGTCCGGAATTACACCTTTTTACAGTTCCACCATTCGGCATGCAATTTGGCCTGCCCAAATCGCATTGAGAGCGTCTCTAGACACCGTTGTGATGATGTCATTCAGAGGCACCGATTACGGACCCACCAGCCAAGCAGCAGGGGGAGAAGGCGGCATGGCTTCCCAGTGGAATGGAGTAGACGAACATGAGGTTGTCGTGAAGGAGAGGGTAGCAGTATGAGAACCTTTCTTTAGTCGCGTCACATGTGAATTAGATGCTGACATGCTCCACAGTGTGATCGTTGCCGTCAGCGGAAGGTGCGATCCTTCTATTTACCTGCAGCAAAGATTGTTCCCTTGTGAGGTGTATCCGAGGTCGGTCTACTGACTTTCGAGCTGGCTTGATAGACCAAGTGTAATCGCGTTAATCCGTGCTCACATTGTACCAAGGCGGAGGCGCAGTGTACATTCAGACTGGCTCATAAAGCCAAGGAAAACCGGCAACGGGTCCTGATCTCGACTGTATAGTGAGTTATCCCCCCAAGTACATCTATCCAATCATTAATAGACCATCAGTGAAAGAAGACTTGAGCATATTTCGAACAGAATTGAGGAGCTCTACGGAATCATAGGGCAATTTAGAGATGAGCGCCATAATGATGATAGTAGCCTTATGGCCCCAACGAGATTACGAGCACCATCATATTCATTGCTCCAATCTTGCAGTCTTCGGGCATCCCCCAAAGCCCCAGCTCCAGCGGAAGCGATTGAGTCCGCCTTGTTTGCCCATGTCATTTGGGCAGCAAGAACACTAGAAACCGCTGTGATGAATGACCCATACTCCAGGGCCGTCGACGCCATAACTTCGGCGTTGAATACTTTGCGGAGCACAGTCAATGACCAAAAGCAGCAAAATGAGAGGCTGGAAGGGTCACGTTCATTTCTAAAGGCGCTGCCTTCTGGTCTTAGTCTCAGGGATTTGCCTATCCCTTCCATGGATAAAGTCATGGCATGCCTCAGGATCGCTCAAGGTGCGTCTCTCTTCTCCAGGCTATGTGGCACTCGTTCTGATAATCATCCCGCAGAGAGCTCGCCAAGCGAGATTTACTGGCCCTTCGAATTTGGACCTCTGGGGGACTTCACCCAGTACGTGATCAGAGCCTGCACACCCGGTCCGATCAGCGATATGGAGCTGATCATAGTCCATTACGTTCTTTACTCGCTCTTCACCCAATGCTCGATTGGTGCCGATGACGAGACACTCAGACAGGACTACGATGTGCAGGCTGCAACTTGCAGGGAGAGCCTCGAGACAATTTTATCGAGCCTTTCCTTTCACATCGATACCAATATTGACTCTATTCGTGCCCTGTACATGGCGGTGCGTTTTTCCCTCTTAGTAGCAATGCATTCCCAACCGTATTAATTTGCGATTTCCAACGTACAGTCTCTTCATTGTCTGCACCGGGGAAAAGTGTCCACAGCCTGGACGTTTATTTCAAGAGGGTCACTTATGTGCCTGGCCTTGGGGTTGCATAGCAGTCACGCCATGGTAACGGAACAAGAAAACGCAGTGCAGCGAAAGATGTGTCTTTTCTGGGCTGTGTACGCCCTGGAGAAAGTTGTTGCTTTACGGCTCGGCAGGCCGTCGACTATTAGAGACCAGGACATCACCATCTCACGAGTCACTTTGGACCGCAAAATGACCTCCCTAGCATATAACCGGCTGCCTGACTGGATCGATGTCGCTAGCCTCTACGGCCGCTTGTACGATAGCCTGTATAGTCCGACTGCATTGACACAACCAAGCTCCGTTCGCGTGTCTCGTACCTGTGCACTGGGTTCTGAGCTGGAGCGGATGATAGCCGCGAGAACCGGATACTATGTAAGTATCTAAACAAGCATACGGAATCAGCCCGTGGACACTCTGACTAACCACCCTTCTCAGAATCGGCCAGACCTGTGGAGTAGCCATGTGCTAGATCTAAATCTTTCACAGTTCATGATACACGCCAACAGAGCTATAGAATACTCAACCTTGGCATCCATATATCGAGGAATCCCCACAAAGAGTCCTTATGGTATGATACCATGTACGCAATGCATCGCCGCCGCGCGAGTAGCCCTTGAAGAGAGCGAAGCCAGCATTGCCATACTTTCAGATGCAGCAAAATGGCCAACAGGTCTTCACGAATGGGTCAACGAGATTCTCCTCCTAGCGCCGTTTATCTCTCTCACAATCCTGGTCTGCAATGTTGTTGATACCGCTGACGCGTCGGACCTGGGCCGCTTGAAGGGAGTGATTGACGGTCTACAGTCTCTGGTACAATCGCCGCTCTATGCCAGTTGTAATAGGCAGCTGCGTATTTTCAAGCCTCTATATGATGTTGCAGCTCGTTACGTCGAAGCAAAAACAAGCCAGGAATCAACAGACACGATTAGCACTCTATTCACTAATCCAGACGCCGATGTCTACTTCGATGGTGACGCTTGGTTAGGGAATGAATTCTCTCCTGTCTCATCTTTACCATTATCGAATATGTGGTCACTCGATTTGCTCCAAGCTCCAGCAGTTACATCATATGGTGAGACTCCGGAACATAGCCAACGGTCCCTAACAAAGTAAGGTCCATACTCTTTGATCTTGCAAAAGGGTTTTTTTTCCTCCGCCGCCAACACCTACTATGTCAAGGGCACTCCGAGAACACAGTACGCTATACCGTGCTGTGCTCCTCCAAAGCAGCGCGCACAGGTCTTAATGCCGCTCTGTAGATCGTCAAGGGCTCGTGCAGTTCGAGGCTAAGGATGCACAAAAATAACTGAGAAATACTGGAAAGCTTTTTAGGAAGCTGTTAAGATCTCTCATTGGTCACATGATGTTTCCCTACATTAGTAGTAGTCTAGTTCCTACCTTTCCTCTATTACAACTATCATCCATCCACAATATATTACATTGTGCTATTTTATGATCTTATCTACTCTATAGACTTCAATAGGTTATGAGCCCGAGGAGCTCGTTATTGATCTAATCTAACGATCTATTAATATCCTCGGTTTTTCTATACGTACGTTATATAGGGGTCGTATCTTGCTTAGTACGATCTACAAAATAAGTTAATATTTATATCCCGCTAAGCTCCGGGAATTACCTATTTAGGATACGTACATACCTTTAACTTCTAGGTAGATAGCTACGTAGCTAGGACCTACTAAGGTAATAAGTAGAATCTTAGTAGTATCTAGACCTTGACATTTCCCATGGGCACCCTACAATCTTCGGCCCACCGTACATGCCCATAGATCCCATGGGCCGGGCACCCAGCCTTAGTGCAGCCTATAGTCGTCCTATAGGACTAAAAAAAATTCCCACGCTAGTATAACTAACCTAAAACGGATATATAAAATACTAAGTTATCATAATAATATATCGTTATTTATACTTATTTTGTTAGTACTTATCTTTAACTATATTATACCTATAGCTAGACTTCGGTAGAACCTATTTTAAATCGGAACCTCTAATCTAAAACCTAACCTATTAGGTTTTAGGTTCCGCCCTCTATAACCTAATAGTATAGACTATTAAAAATATATATTTATAGTAGAGGGGAGTATATATATATTATAGGATAACTATAAATATAAATAGAAATATCTTATTCATATTTTATTTTATATATAATTAATATTATATTAAAGCTATATTTCTCTTTTCTTATATTCTTATTTAATATATCTAGTAACTTAGCTAATATATAAATTATAGAGGTTTATAACCTATCTCTATATTTAACTTCTTATATATGAGATCCCAGAAGCCCATTTCTTATGTATATAGCACTGTTAGTCCCTATACGGGACCCTACGGGCCCGCACCGGACCGTTTCTACGTCTATAGGTACCGTAGTACTCCGTAGATAGTAGTATTTAGTAGTTAGAAACCCTAAGTAATAGAAAGCATATAATCCTTTCGAAATCATATCTAGTAGTATATCGGTATAGGCTATCTTCTACGATAAGCTATTACGGACCTATCCGTCACCAATCAGTGGTGACCCACCAGGCACGACAATGGGCCATCGAGAGCCAACCAGAAGATCTGTCAGCAGATCACGTACAAGCTCACTAAGCAAGAGCATAATCCGCCCTAAGCCGGACTAAAGTTTGGTGTATATATATGTTACGGACCTATCCGTCACCAATCAGTGGTGACCCACCAGGCACACCAATAGGCCATCGAGAGCCAACCAGGATACCTATCAGTAGATCACGTGCAAAGCTCACTAAGCAAGAGCATGATCCGCCCTAAGCGGACCCACCCCGTAGAGGATTTCCGATACCTAGGTTGCTCTACGTACTAGACAACCGCTACTTAGTATCACGTGATTATATAGGTAGTAGAAGGGTAGTAAGTAGATCAGTAGAATCCGCTAAGGCGATTCTACTATTCTACTATCTACTATTCTATATAGGAAGAACTTAGGGATATATAAGGACACTTATTTATATATCTAGTTTAGTTCTTCGTCTTTAATTATATATTATTACTTATATTTACCTTTTAGATTACTATAACTCTTTATTTAATTATAATCTAATAATACTTACGAGTAGACTAATACTCCGGTATAGATCTACTCGGCGCTCTACCTAGTATTAGTTCCTTAATCGCTTAAAAGGACTTAGGCTACTATAAGGCCCTACGCGGTATTAGCTTAGTTAAGACCGGATTATTAACGTTAGACTATTCGAGGAGTATTAAGGTAAGTATATCCTAAACCTATCTAACCTAACTATAACTAGTTAGCTAGTATATAATATATTAAAGACCGTCTTAAATTAAGTTTCGAGTTACGATAAAGATAATATAGTTAACGAATCGACTACTAGTAGCGGTACTTCTATATAAAGTAACGCGTCTAGCCCTTAGTAGATAGTTAAGATAATCTAGTAATTATAGGAGTAAATCTTAACCCTAGAGAGCTAACGTCCGGTCTTTATAGTTAAGATTCTATAACTAAAGTTCTTTAATAGAATATAATCTAAGCTTCGATTATTCTTTACGTAACTAGATATAAACTAATAGGTTAACCGATCTAAGCTACCTATAGAAGCCGATAAGGTTATCTATATATCGACCTTCCTCCGAGGACTAGCCTTCGATTAATTTAAACTATTCCTACGCGAGTTTTAAGAAGAAACTAATTAAGAAGTCTAGAGCGACTTTATCTAAGAAGTATTTAATAGCTATAATAAGTTTAAGGAACGAATTAAACTTACGTTCGGTAATATTAACGTAAAACGAACGGCTAAATAACGCCTTCGACGTCTATAATAGACTACCTCGGTTAGCGTATATACCGCTAAATTTTAATAAATTATCTTATACTTAAGCTAGGATAAGGACTACTTCGTTTTAGTCTTCGAAGACGGACTAAAAGAATATATTAAGGACGAACTAATACGTAATAATCGACTAGATACGCTAGATAAGATTATCGGTATTATAGTTAAAATCGATAATCGAATCTATAATCGCGAGATATAATATCGCGAAATAAGATAGTAGAGGATAGATAGATAGCGACTACCTATTTAGTATCGCTAGAACGATAGGCGACCTAGATAGTCTACGCCTTAACCGGCGAGATATATAGACTTATATAGCCTAATACTAATAGATCTCGACGTAATATATAAAGAATAAGACGAGTATCGATAGAAGAACCTTTACTTTACCTATAGAAAACTAGAATACTACGCGAGGGAATATAAATAGAAGAAACTATATAAAAAACGGTAATATATATAGGCGATATACGAAGTACTATAAGCGACCTAAGAGGGAAAAGCTACTACTAGTATAGGTATTAGCGCTAAAGGAATAAGCGCTAGTTAGGAATATTAGGAGGAAATATACCCTAATAAATAATAGGGCGACCTAGAAGGGTAAGTCGGGATCCTTATTAATAGCCTTAGATAGAAAAGGCGAGTCGTTATAGACCTAAAAGACGAACTCTTAGAAGATCTTATAGCTAGGTATAAAGGCCTAAGCCTAAAAGAGATAATAGCGGGCAACCTATATATTAAAGGGTTAGCCGACGAGCTAGAACTCGATTATCTAGAAATCGATTAGGATATAGTAGAAAGTTAAGGGTAGATATAGTATATATCCTAAGTACTAATCTAGGACCTAATAGGATTTATAGCTAGAGAGGACCTTAGTTAGCGGTCGTAAGACCCGCTAGGACTAGAGACTATAGTTATAGGAATAGAGAAGTCTTAGGATCCTAAGTATCTTACGACTAATAATATAGGGCTTATAGAGATATAGAACCCGATCCCTAGAGCTAATAGTAATCTAGGAACGCTAGATACGCTTCCTAGAATAGATTAAACTATCCTAGAGATACTAATAGAAAGCCCTATAAACTATTATAATAATAAAGAAGCTAAAGAGCTTATAGGATATCTCGAAGGAAAGATATAGCCTAATAGACTAGATTAGTACCTTATTAACGTAATTAAGGAAGGCGACGACCTAGTAGGATACCCTTATAAAAATTCTACTTACGCGTATAAAGAATATACGCGATATCTAGGATATACTAAGATAGCTAGTATTATATACTACGATAAAACGTATACTATTTATAGGTTAGTAAAGTTAGATTATAGTATCGAACTAAGACTATTATAGTAGATAAAGAAGCTATAATAGATAAAAGAATACTAGGGAATTTAATATAATAGACGCTAGATATACGATTATAAGGATCGACTAATAATATATCTAGCGGTAATATTATTAGGAATATATATTAAACTATATATAAACCTACTAATAGGAATAGTATAGACTTTTATCGATTTAGGAGCTACTAATAACTTTATAAACCTAAGATTTAAAGACGATCGATAAGTTATAACTAAACCCCTACTATATATAATATTAGTTATAGGACTCGATAGAGAAGTACTCTTAGGAGGAGTTAGTAAAGAAACTATTATATTATCTATATCTATCTATAGATATCTAGAATTAATATAGTTTAATATCTTAGAGATAGAAGACTATAATATTATTCTAGGTATTCTATAGCTTAGGAAGTATAACCTAAATATCGATTAATAATTAGGATAAATTATCTTCGATAGGTATAAGTATATATAAGACTATAATAAGTATAAGATATATTAATAAAAGTCTACCTAACGAAATAAGTATAATAAGTAGTCTTAAAGTAAGAGGACTAAAGTATTAATTATAGGCGTCGCCTTAGATACTATCGAATAATTACTAGATATATCCGACTAAGAGTTAAAGGATTATATAATAATTAAAAACGAGAAGCTATATATAACTAGCGATATATCTAGGATTCCGGAGGAATATTAGAAGTTTATAGATATTTTTATAGTACCGGCTAATAGAGTATTACTAAAATATAGACCTTTTAATTATAAGATTAATATTATAGAAGGTACTAAACTAACTTTTATACCTATCTATTAGCTATTATAAAAGGAGTCCGATATATTTAAAGAATATATTAAGAAGAATCTACTAAAGAGATATATCTAAGTCTCGAAGTTAGAGGCTAGATACCCTATTATCTTTATACT